CCGTTTCAGCAGTGCCATCCCCTGGCAACAATTCCAAGGTCTTCCCTTGGGCCGACAGTCCGCGGGAGAGCAACGTGTCACGGGCAGCTGTCGAGGCAAGAGTTACTTTACACGTACCTCTCCTGCCCTGAATATCAATAACTCGGATGTCCGTGCTCCGAACCCCTGCTCCGAGAAGCAGCTTGACGAAGAAGGCATGGTCCTCTGACGCAAGATCCTTACTAAGGTTGATGCAGCAACTCCTGGAGGTACTGCTAGACATACTTGGGTCATAAGCTAAGAAAACCGCAGAGCGAGAAAATCTGCATCCGCACTCAAATTTGAAAAAGTTGGTGGTCACACGTACACCCGAACTATGGTCGGAAAAAATCAGGGGGGTTCGTTCGAACCCCCCCCCCCCCCCCCTGGATCCGCCCCTGGGAACAACCAAATCATTAATTTGAAACTCGGATGTTACTCTCAACTCGTATCTATATTTCCTTTTCCTTTATAAATCATTAATGATATTGTTTTAATAATTATAGCTATGAATAGGATGAAGGCCGCAGACATCACGCAACTACGTTACTTGTTTGACATGTACATGTATTTTACTGTGTATTTTATAACAAAAATATTATTGCCAACCACTCTTCTCACACGAATTGCCACGGCACCCACATTAATCCAGAGACCTCGGAGGGCAACAGCAAACTACTCCACAGATATTAATTTTATGCCAGAAACGGCCAAGGACCGCGCGTTGTGGACAATACCAACAGAAGGAAGGTCGAGCAGGATCATGAGTCAGTGAGTGAAGCGGATCTGGAGGAACAACTCCGCTCACGGGACGAGCAGCTAGCAAATGGGAGACAAGTGGTCTGTACAGAAACGTGAGACAGGTGATCAGAGGATGGAAGAGCAATTGGATGATGAAACGGTTGGTGAGGAGACAGAGGACGAGGCAGATGATGGTAGTGATGATGATCGTGAGGATGACGAGCGGAACGAGGAAGAGGATGATGAATGTGTTGATCGTAAGAAGTCAGCTGTGTACCTACACTTGTTATCTCGTCCTGACTGTCTTAGGGGTCGTCCGCAATTATCGAAAGTTTTTTCCAATCCGTAGTAGCTTCAAATTTTTCCTCACCCACCCACCCACCCCCTCAGTCCGTAATAAAATATTATTGATGGACACACAACCCAACACATATGGAACAAACTCAATCTGTGCTGGTCCATGAGTCATAGTGACATCATGTATTGTATTATAACTACCATTATTGATGTTTAATTGGTGATCACCGAAATGTTCTTGTTCTGCTTCTTCACCGCCTTTCCAAACAACGTCGCCTGTCTGGACATAGTCAATAACAGTCGTCAGCGCCAGCGCTAGACGGAAGGACTTAAAAGGAGTGCATGGAAGACGGTACTCTGGACGAAGGAGACAGTGAAACTCAAAAATAGAAAGTGTCGACTCGCCGTCGAATGCGCCGAACTTTATGATCCCCGGCCCAGGAGCAGCCAAGGAAGCGCGCGCGGGGGCGCTAGAAACTGCCAGAACTACAAAAATAATAATTTTGTTCGCGCGCAGCCGCGCGTGGAAAACAGGGGCTACACGTAGACGTACACGTGGCACGTGTCATTTCGGAAGTTTTTCAATCCGTAACTGGCCTTGACCCACCCACCCACTTTCGAAGCTACTACGGATTGGAAAAAACTTTCGATATTTGCGGACGACCCCTTAGTGTGTATGATGACTCTCATTTTTCTGTACTGTGTCGTGCGCGTTATGTCTAACAGTTGAAAGTACTTGAGGCAGTTTGTATACGTACAGTATTCATAAGCCTGTTTTGTGTAAGCAGGAGCACGTTGTTGCACTGAAGTTGTATTCGTAGGTTGACACTTCGTTCAGTGCCTTCTCGCCTTTGGTTACGTAATCTTGTTACCTTTTTGCGTTTCCTCTAGTGCCAGTAGTGGTTTTATTGCACTTGTATCTTGTTGTTATTTCTAACACCTTTCTATTTACAAATTACAGTACTTAACTTCAGTTTCTTTGGTTGTATCCTTAGTTCCGTATTTTTTCCCACTGATGATAGGAACAAGAAAATCGATTCTGGGTTTTCAATAATTTTTTTAAAATATTTTTTCCAGAGAATGAAATTGAAGACATCACTGCAGCTGTACTTTTGGTTGATAAATATGGTGGTAAAGACACACCTGGCAATATGGCGGTAAACACACGCCTGCCCACACACGCTCTCTAGGCTGCAAAGTAAGTTCTGGCACAGAGCTCTCCTTTCTCACCACCACCACCATCAGTTCGCGCCTGGCGCCTGGTCGATGCATGGCTGGCGGTATCCGGCATAGCAGGCTGGTACATCAAGTAGCGCATGGCACATAGATGATGACACAGCAACGACATAGCTCGATTGCGACGTACGTTTCGTCCCCGCTGGACTCATCAGGCAATCTTCTTCTTGGATGTCTTCATACGGAGCTTGACTCGGGAGAATGAAATTGAAGACATTGAAGCATTGAAGCTGCAGTGGTGTTTCAATTTCATTCTCCCGAGTCAAGCTCCGTATGAAGACATCCAAGAAGAAGATTGCCTGATGAGTCCAACGGGCCCTGAGCGGGGACGAAACGTACGTCGCAATCGACTGTCCCCGGGGAAAATTGCGATTCCGCGGCCGCGTTTTTTTCCGCGTTTTTGCGATTTTTTAAAAGACCGCGTTTTCCGCGATTTCCCCGCGTTTTTTGAACTTTTTTGTTGCACTACACGTACACACAGTGCACTGTTCGGTCAGCAACGTCTCATCGTGGCGGCTTTTTACTCAAATATATGATGTGCTTACACCAGAGACTTGTAACTGATTGATTTCACTACATACTCACTGAAAATTGCCGCACATCAATATTATTCACCGCATATTTACCGCATATTTACCGCAAATTCACCGCAAATTATGCCATATTATGCCGCGTTTTCCCCCGCGTTTTTTGCGATTTTTTTCCGCAATTTTCCCCGGGGACAGAATCGAGCTATGTCGTTGCTGTGTCATCATCTATGTGCCATGCGCTACTTGATGTACCAGCGCCTGCTATGCCGGATACCGCCAGCCATGCATCGACCAGGCGCCAGGCGCGAACTGATGGTGGTGGTGGTGAGAAGGAGAGCTGATCTGTGCCAGAACTTTGCAGCCTAGAGAGCGTGTGTGGGCAGGCGTATATTTTTTCCACGTAGATTATTTTGGATATTGTTTTATAGAAGATATTGGCGCAATGTGTGTACACTCAACGAACTATCATGTGTGACAAATCAACACGAATGGATAGTGTGGAACGGAGGTGTTATGAATAGCCCTTTCCCAAAGGTGCTCGCCCTTTTTTTCGCCCTTTTTGGCCCTTTTTGGAAAAGCCCGTTTCTTTCGCCCTTTATTGCGTTTTTTGGTGAATATCGCCCTTTTTGAGCTGTTTTAGCTGAAAAAGTGCTACAATCTCTTTGCTCATGCATGCGATCACAGTTTCCGAGTGCTCGATGGGCCTTGGAACGCCGCTTTTTTTTGGGGGGGGGGGGGGGCAGCAAGTTGGTGAAGCTTGTACCCGATACCCGGTGTACACAATGCTGTAAAAAGTGGGTTTTTTGAATTTTACTTCCTGTTTTGCCTTTCGTGGACCCGTCACAGGAAGAGTGCGTATTCATTTCTCAGCTTGGGTTCATATCTGAACATGTATCATGGCTATGCTTCACTGAAAAAAGAGCACTTTTTGGCTGTTTTCACTGAAAAAAGAGCACTTTTTCAGCATATTCTCCCTGAATTACTGATAGGAAAACTGCATGCTTTCGTGTGGCGTCCTTGTCCCCATCTTGACTCTTGTACGTACATGTGATGTATACGTACGGTAACAGGAGTGACTCCAGTCAGTGGTAATTTTTAACAACAACTCGGCGTGACTCATGCGCGAGTCGCACTCTGTGCACAATGCATGTAACACAGTCGTGCATAGTCATAGTCAGTGTATGCAGCTAGCTACAGACAGTCATATCAGTAACTGAGTAAAGACATTGAGTTTCTTTGGATTAGACTTTTTCAAATTTTCATTTTGATTTCATCGTCGAGTTTCATCCCTTGTATCTTTGGTTTTCTTCCTTCTTTCCATGTCGTAATGTTGTTGTAGACTGTTTGTACTTTGTAGTGCGGGCTACAGACCACATACTGTACTGTAGATACGATGCAGACATCCCACATACTACTAGTACTACTAGTATCAGTATCAGTACTGACTCTGTGCTACCAAGACTGGCAAGAGTCCATGGACTCTTGCCAGTCTTGGTGCTACTTGTTGTAGATCGACTAGTTGTAGTAAGTAAGTACTACTATTAGTTAGTTGTAGTTGGTGAGATCTACACTACTACAGAGACGGTACTACACTACTGTCACTAGACAAGTGTCACCTCGCTCAGTAGCTCTACAAGCAGCAAAAGAAAGTTTAGTGTAGGACCAAGGTGGCAAGAGTCCATAAATCGCCCGACTCTTGGTACAGTAGGACACCTGGACACTGTACTGTACTGTGTAGTTGTAAGTACGGGCGCTGTTATGGTTATGAACTCGAACTGAGTCGAAGCATGAAGCCTAGCCTTTGAACTAAAAAGGGCATGCATGTGCAGCGCGCGAACGCTAGCGTACTGCAAGCAAAACAACCGAGACCAAAACGCGTTTTCTCCTGTGACTCCGAGTTTCGTGTTGGAAACACTCATCATGACGGCCGCGAAACTCGGAGTTACAGAAGAACACGCGTTTTGGACTCGATTGCTTCAGTGTTGTAGTTTACGTAAGTGTCGATAGACGTAGACGTGACATGTACGTAACCAACGTAGGCAGGGCGCTAGGGTAAGCAGCAAGCGGGGTAGATCCATACGCCAGTACAGACTCACTGCAGCGGATGCCGTTGACGGAGATCGAATGAATAAATCGACACAGGGCTCGTCCTAGGCTAGATCTTGCAGTCTTTTTGCTTGTTTGCACCTAGCGCGCTGAAGGTGGATGTGCGCGTGTGTGTGTGTGTGTGTGTGTGTTTCTCACACGGGCGGACGGAAAGACCTAGCGTTTTAGGTCGGTATCAAGCCTAGCATCTTGTTCATCCAGGATGTCGTGGATACGTTCGTTGTTGCTGATGTGTGCCCTGGCGGTGGTGGTGGTGAGAGGTCAGGAGTGTGCGGAGACTGCAAACTTCTTCACCGAGCACCAACTACAGTACAACTGGAGACCCAACGATGGTGAGTGTTGTGCGTGAGTTTGTTGCTTGTGCGAGTGTGTGCAGTTGTGTTGTCCGCTTGCCACCAGCGAGTGAGCTGATTTGTCTTGTGGGTAGTGGCGGGTCGGTGCTTCTCGAGAGAGTTTTGTTCTTTTACACTCTTCCCGACCCTGTGTTTGTTTGTGTGTGTGTGTGTGTGTGTGGTATCGCGTACCGTTGAATTATTGTCGTGGTGGTTTCAGGGCCTTCTAGTGTATGCGGTAGAGCAAGTTGCTGCAGCAAGCAACACGACGCTGACTTGCTGCATGCTGCCAAGCGCCAAATGCGGGAGGACTTACGAACGGGATTTTCCAGCAGCCTCTATCTTCTAGAACGGTTGTCATCTCAGCTGGACGGTAAGCGTACTACATGCGATGCTATGACCATGCTACGATGTACTGTGCACTGGAGCTGCGTTTTTAAATCTTCATGGACAACTCCTACTCCCCATTCGTATTCAAAGTATTAGTTAGTCATAATCAGATTCTTCTTCTTCTCCTGTGCGGCACCCACCGCTGTTCTCAGTTGCCTGCTGTGCGCATATTGAGTATTGTTGACAGGCATAAGCAGAGGCTGGACGTGTGATGTGTCAGTTGGGTTGTCTCGGACGTCCGTCTCATTGCAAGGCAGATTGGTGGAGCGCTGGTGTCCTGTTTTGACCCAACTCGATGACTTTTACGTGGTCGCGTCTGGGCCCAAATGCTACAAGTAGATGGCAGTGGCTGCTGGTCATGAAACCCCTAGCTGGCCTAGGCGAAGCCTTATCGTTCGATGTGGATGATTCTGTAGTACTGTACTACGGTGGACTGGGGCAACCTTGTTTTCTTGTTTGCGTGTAGCTCTTCTCCCTCCTGCTTAGCTGAGCTGTGAGCTTCCGTCCGCTTAAATTTCATGATCTGCTTTTTACATCATTTCTTACCATAGGCGCCGATCATCCGAAAGGAGGAAGTTCAGTGGACCAGCAATGCTAACTAACTAATAATTATTTGCTTAGTCCGCCTAGAGCCAGTAGAGGGTGAAGTGTGTTGTGGAAGGGATCCTGAGCCCAGCTGGATCTGCCGTTCATTGCGGACCGTGGTCGGAGGTCGGTCGTGCGACTGTGACCCTGAGTCTGAGTCCGACTGAGGTGGTGACGAATGTAATGTGGTTTGTCACTAGATCGTGAAGTGGATATGTGATGTGTGCGAGCGGATTTTTCATTTCATGAGGTCGATTTCACTGCATATCGATTGTTCGTTGGGTGGTCTTGTCCGCAAACTGTTCTCACACCTTCTCGGCGTATCCAAGGCCAGGGAACTGAGGCCTCGGCGTTGGTGATCTCTTCGCTTCATTGCTCCAGGCCGTTACAGCGTACATGATTGCAACTTGTACTCGTACTCCAGCGATAGCTGCCTACACAACCATTACAAGGACTGTAGCTGGTTGGGAGCGAAGAATGATTTGGGCCATTGCAAGTTGAAGTTCCCGACACGGAAATTTCTAGCTGGAATTTTTTTAGCGTGCCTTGTTCTTGTCGCGCTACTTGCGAGGTTGCGATCAAAACAATATCCTCGTCCTAGCCTGTGCTTTTCATACCCTACTAGTACTAGTACTACTGCAGTCACTGTCTAGACTCTAGTCTAGTGTCTGTTCTGACTGCACAGTCATGCAGTCGGCGATGCGCGTGTTCGTCGACGTGACGACTCAAGTCAGGAGCTTTGTTACAGCTACAGTAGCTAGGTCTTGTCCATGTTAGTAGTAGATTAGGCGGGAGAATGCGGATCGGGGGTCTCCAATCTCACCATGGCTCACTTCGTGTTCAGTGAACGTTGCCATCCGATGGTGAATAAAATAACATACTACTAGTAATCCGATGTTTGTTTTGTGTTGTGTGGAGAGCTTGTGCCAAGTAACGTTAGTTGTGGACCTTATCCTTGCAGCTTGTTCGTTGTACTAGTAAGCTAGCTCGCAGTTTTGTGGTGCTGGAGACGTGAAGTGGAGTCGTGGAGACTGTGCGTCTGCCCGCTGACCGTGTTTGACCTTGTCCGCACAGTATGCACGTCATGTTCTTTCCAGCACTACCTGTAGTGGAAGATACGACAGGTAGATCTACAAAATGCAGGTCCTTTGGACTTTAGCCAGTTTGGGGTCGACCATGGCATGGGTACAACACCATGAACACGGGTCCTGTACTAGGCTGTAGTGTAGACTCTAGGCTAGCTACATGTAGATGATAGATCTACTTTGTTATTCGGATCGCCGTTTGGCGGGCGCACTGTCTGTCCTGATCTCCATGCTTGTGAAACTCCCGTGGTCGATCTGTCTGTGCTAGATCTACTGTCATCGTGGTCATGTAGATTGTAGTTGAGGTTTTCGATTCTTGAGTGTGGCGGGATATGAGCGCGCTGCGGCGTGCTCATGGTGTCGGGTTGTCGCACTTGTTCTTCAACCGGAGAAGCTTGTTGAGAGAATGCTGCATGCTGCGACGCACCGTCTTGACTGAGTGCCTGCTGCGCTTGTCCATATCTTCCGTGACGATCATGCCACACGCGGCACGCACAAGGCCGTAAGGGAAGTACGTACACGGAGTACATGTAATCAGCAACTCAGCTGGTGTGGATATGGTTGAGGACCATGAGGATGATAATGAGGACTGCGGGAGGTGTTTTTCATTTGTTTTTTTGTTTCATCGTTGTAGTGCCTTTCGTCATGCTGCGACTTCCAATACTAGCAAACTGATTTGTACTGCGCTGTGGTTTTGCAGACATTTCTACTTTGTAGTACATGCGCGCGTATCCTTGATCCGCGATCGGTATCAGCACCGACTAAAAATGTTCCTGGCTTTCTCGCACCAACTACGGTATTACGAATGTTGCTCAGACTGCGGGAGAGAGTGCAAGAGTAATGCCGCGCCGCTCGATCTTGTCGTTGGGAATGGTTGGCATGAGACGGCGGTTTAGGAGTACATCGTTCACTTTATCGATGTTGCACTTTCGCTTTCTGGACCTAGTCAGCTCGCTCAGTAGTGATGTTGAGTTGGCGTACCTGTGCCGTGGCAATGGCAGTGTTCATGGTGTTTGTGTGTGGGCGATCAACGACGTGTCGTGTCTGTCGACGGGCGTAGTCACCTGCGGCCCGCCGCTAGCTCCACAATGCTCGATCGACGATCGTCCTGACTCATGTCGTAATCAGGCACCGTACTCCATTATCTGGCATTCGACGACCGGAGCTGAGGGGCATAGTCAGCATGCCCGGCACAGCATGTCATTGCCAGTTAGCTACACCATGTACATATCCATTCCGTGAGTGTAGGAGGAAGTACTGCCTACTGGGTCGTCATGGGGTTTCTAACCAACTTAGCAACTAACTTCTTGGTGACCTTGACAGGCGCACCAAAAATGGCCTGGCTTTCACATTTGCAACATTGAATTATTTGTGTTTGTTTGGCAGGTGATCGGCAGGGGCAGTCCTCATTCATGTTGTTGCCCAGTTTAGATTATACTGTGCAGCACATTGTTGCAAGGGGAGTCGTAAATCATTGATATGCTGATCATTGCATATTGGTGGTAGATAACCAACATCATGAGCCATTGGCATTGTAGTCACCTAAGTCCTTGTTTTAGACACTGCAGGGGCCCAGGCTCAGTGGGGCCCAGGCTCAGTGGGGCCCAGGCTCAGGACAGGACATCAAGCCCCGAGCGCCAAAGTGCAGGATTTGTGATAAGTTATTGCGTGCATCACCTGCAAGAGGACGCGGTTGCCGTATCAGTGAGGTAACTGAGAAGGGGAGACGTCTGCATACTTGCCATGCAGATAAGATCAAAAATGGCAAATTCCCAAGTAAAACATTTCCAACAGCAGCAGCTTTAGTGGACTCAGTTCTGGAACACTTTATAAAAAGTGGGTGTCCATTTGCGACCCAGCTCGGCACGTTAATTAGCTGGGCTTATCCGATTACCCTCAATGTGGCACTTGGAGCGTGTTACTCAGGCATCAAATAACGAATTAATTGTTGCTGCCCAGCGTATACGAAATGCTGCCTGATACCCCGTAATTGGTTTCCGGGACATGGGATCACCTGTGATAAGGAGAGTGCATGGGATCACCTGTGATAAGGAACCGTGCCATGGTGTGCTATGATGGAGCATACCCGAGTTTGGACCGTCCTCCGACCAACAACTTTTTCAGTTGGTTCATGAAAAGAAGGTGGTGTGTGTGTGTGTTGAGTTATCGCCTGTTGTGCCCTGAGCTCTGTTGAGATTGATGAGAAACATCCTTCCTGGGTGTTGGCTGTTGACAGTTTTGTGTCTCATTTGCATGGACGTTGCTGATTAGATTAACACGCTAGCAAAGCTCATTCTTCATCATACGCTATGGCCTGATTGAGTCAGACACTGCCCCCACTGGGCCACTAGGATTGGGGCCCCCGGTGTTGGGCTTGGCTAAAATATTCCATGGCCTACCGCTGCCCCTGGACCTGTCAAGCTCTGGAGGGCATCAGCAGCAGCTCATCATCATCATCCACGCCAGGGACAAGTGTGGACAGTCAAGTACATTATGTAATTAGTATAGGTAGAGTAAACATGAGACTAATGTCATAATGACATGAACTACAAGGACAACAGCCCTTACAAGGACAACAGCCCTTGTATTCTATAGCACCCAAGCACATGTAGGTCCAAAGAGCAGGCCCGCCACCGACTTGGGACAGTACAGGTGGCCATTTGCTTCACGCCAACACACCCAACTGTACATGCATGCACACTTCGCTGCGGCAGTGAATATTTCAATGAAATCTGTGCTCGTGAAAGCGATGACAACTGCATGACGGTGGAACCAATGGACGCGGACGGCGGACGGATGTGGTGACGACCCGGGATGCATCACTATGTTAACACGATGTATTTCTAGTTGTGTCTTGCTGGCTTCAATTCAGGCACAACACATCACTACTGACTACAGCAGTAGGAACACTCAGGTAGACATATGGAACACTGAAGTTACAAGATGATCATAGCTCTCCCTATAGTTACTTGGTTACTAATACCAGCAAGCTGCAGACTTTTGAAATTCATTTGCGCTCAGCTCTGTACTTTCCACAACCCCAATGCGACTCTTGCCACTTGAACACCCACCGCTGTTGTGTGGGTGCAGCTCAATGCTGGAGAACTCCTTGCTATTTCTAGCAATCTCAAACAAGCTACACTGCTCCTGAAGCAGCTGTCACTAAAGTGCCCGGGCCGGAAGGCTGCCTATATAGCTATGTTGGCATGCAGCCTTGTCCGGAAGGCAGAGTGTTGTGTCTGGCTGAGGAGTCAGCCTAGCAACTCGGAGACTCCAGCGCCTGGATTCATTGGGGAAATCAGGATCACGGGTAGATGGGCTGGGTCGGATCCAAACTGATCTTTGTCCACCCTGTAAAAATGGTTCATTGTGTTCCATTGTTCATTCCCGGTGGGATCTATAAGTCACTTTAGGGGAATACCCTCACATTAGTCAGTGCTCAGCACCCATGATAATTGGATGCTGAACTAGTAACTGGTGGTGGGAGTGAAGTCAGTGTGTCTCTTGAAGTCTGTTGTGGTATTGTAAGGATGTCAGGTGTGACCAAGCATTCACTTGTGGTGCAAATGGAAGTGAAGAGAGATCAAGAGAGAGCATGCAGCAGGGAGATAAATGAGTGGCGCTAAGGACCTCTTCCCAGATAGGAGATAGCTGCAGTGCACATGGCGTTTGGGTCTGAAGTGACTGCCATTGTGCCCTTGAGTTGCAATCCAGCCGGCACAGTGCCGCATAATCACATGCCAGCCAGCATTGCGGATCACCCGCTAGCACTGGGGACTTCGGCGTCAATGGCGCACATGCCAAGCCTGCATGTTGATGGGCTGTTCTGGCATGCAAATCGGATTAGCGCACAACAAAAATGGGCATGCACAGGTCATCATCATGCTCAGCTGCCAACAGTCTGCTGCCTGGTCGAAAAGTGCCATGCACTGGGCATGCTACTGCCCCAAAATGCTGCATAGCATGACCAAAACGATTCCAGTCCTGGTGGTGACAGTCAATTTTTCTTCAGACTTTATTCCCTTTTCAACACCGTCGTCGACTGATGACTATTTGACCAAGAGGGACCAAGATGTACGTTCTGGCAAGGCCAAGTAAAATAAAATCCCAGTTTATCGTCCTTTTTTTCACAAAAATCGGGGAGGGAGGGCGGATTTTATTTTTATTTTTTATTTTTTGATGTGCTACAGACTAGTATAGTTCTTGGTAAACAATGACACATCATGTGCAACAATCTGCAACAGAATAGTGGTAGTGTATGGAATACACAATGCTATAACAGTTATATGTACATAAACAGCCATACCAGGACTTCAGAACTTTCAACCCGCGACGGATTTGCAGCAAAACAAACGGCATGTCGCTTCTCAACAAAGTCGCAACTACGGAAAGAACGGAAAACTGTCGAGGTCTCGACAGGATGAAGACGGACTTTCGGCAGAAAGACGAAGCTGTGTTTTCAAGCCTTAGCCGACGTAAAAAATCAAGCTTTTTGGCAAAATTCTAGATTTAAAAAATAAAAATAAATTCCGGGCGGCCTCGAAAAATGGGGCGGGCGGGGACGATAAACTAGGATTTTTTTTACTTGGCCCAATATGGCTTTAATAATCTAGTGCAGGTCGAATTAAGATTACGCTGTACATAATGCCATTAAAATGGTGTTTCAGGCGGTGTTTCTATGGGGGGTGTTTTAACTTTTGAGAGTGACCCATGCAGTTCTCCACACGTAATAATGGTCAGGTGTGAACATACAGATTGCTGGTACAGACCATCACCTGCTCATCTTGGTCATTCTGAAACATTCCCTCCCTTGTTGTCTATGCCTGCTGCTGATGTATTCTGTTCTTCAGCATCAATCTGCAATTCTCTGCAAGAAGCACAGAACGAGAGCGATAGCGTTCTGCAGCACACGTATGGTCCGTATTATCAACGTAACAATGGCATGTTCAGCGACTTCTTCTGCCGGCTCAGCTTTGCAGCGAGTCGAGCGGACTGCTGCTACTGCGAGCAAGAAATGGAGGAGATTGTCTTCACGTTCTTGCGGGATCTGGTGTTTGTCGCTCTCAAGGAGCAGTCCAGGATCCTGAGCGTGTCGCAGAGGTTCGAAAAATGTGTGCACCGTGTCATGACCGTCGCTGCCTTGAAAGAAATCTTTGCTGAGAACAGGGTCAACTGGTTGCTGAGCCGCTTGAAGCGGCAGATCTGCTTACCATGTCACATGCGACAGGGGTTGCGCGTGGCGCACAACTTCGTGCACAACTCCATCACCAAAACTGAGGTGAGCCAGGAGTGCCTGGAGGGACTGCGCTGTGTGTACAGCTGCTCATGCTGCGCCGGTGAAGCCAACTGCAGGACAAAGAAACCCTGCTTCTCGTGCTGCGAGTCCGCAATGCTGGCATGTAGCCGCGAAGGCCTGGGTCCATCCAGTGCGCCCTTCTCATGGTTACTGAAGGAGCTGGGGCGTGCTGCTGCAGAAAGTGCAGATGGAAAGCCAGATGAAGTTCTGGACAGCTTGGGCGTCAACCTGAGTGAAATGATCATGGAGATCTACCTGAAGACCGAGGAGACGCTGGAGCAGGTAAGTCCTGAGCTTTGTACCCTTAAACCCTTAATTAAAGGGGAAGTGCATCGATTTTTCAAGTAGGGTCCAGAAGAAAGACAATTTGATATCGGTTCGAATGGCATATCTCTCGCTTCCATACGATAAGCCAAACTTGCCAAATCGCCAATTGTATGCTCACGTTGCCATAGCGACCAGCGGAGTGATGACGTATTTAAGGCTTAGCTCCTCCACAGAGAAGGTCGATCACTGCATAAATTGGTCATTTTCAATTGTCTTATTGTATTCACGATGTGAAAGAAGTGCTGTGTTCAATGCTGTTAGTGCCGTGAACTATTTGTCGCCCTTCTCATGCATTTCCCTAGGCTGACTGTGCCTTGGAAATGGTTTCCTCCAGGACAAGATGCTTGGAATTCGCCATCTCTCCTGAGACATTTTCAGCAAACTTTCAAACCTACGACATTATTTCATTCGTCAATCTCCACCACCCGTCGTCTCACCTGGCTTCAGAAGATGTTACGAGAGATAGGAGAGTCGCCAGGAAGCATCACATTCATCTTCAGGAAGTGGAAAGAGCAAACAGCATGGTCCTTGGTTGGGGGAAATGCTGAACGTCTGATTTGTCCCAACCAAGATTTCAGCATTTTGTTCGTCACTATTTTCGCTTGTCTGCTGGTGTCTCCGCGCTCCAGCTTTCTCCTATCGGTGTCACGTCCCAGTACACAACCGAACAAACAGTTCACTGCACTTACAGCATTGAACACAGCCCTTCTTTCACTTCGTGAATACAATAAACCAATTGAAAATGACCAAATTCTGCAGTGATCGACCTTCTCTGTGGTGGAGCTAAGCCTTTCGTACGTCATCACTGCGCTGGTCGCTATGGCAACGTGAGTATACAATTGGCGATTTGGCAAGTTTGGCTTATCGTATGGAAGAGAGAGATGTGCCATTCGAACCGATATCAAATTGTCTTTCTTCTGGACCATACTCGAAAAATCGATGCACTTCCCCTTTAATATTTCTAAGAAAGAAATGGCAGGACCAAGGTTTTACAAGTTATGCTCTAAAATGTCCGCTATTATACCACCAGTTACATGTGTACTTGACAATTGCCTCATGCAATAACATTGCACGATTTAAAATTCAACTTCAGTAGAACTATTCGACTATTGTGCTGCGCATAACTCTCAGGCACAATCAAACTTCCAGATCAATTTCATATATAAGTGATCTACCATTCCATCTCAGAAATCGTCAATCAAGAGGCGATAAATGCCCTGAAAGTCAGTTCTGGAGGACTGCGGACAGGTTTAGATTCTTTGTCGGCAAACTGTCCTGTCATGTTTGACATTGGACCTGGTGATCGCTGAGTGATTGTGTGTGTGTGTGGGGGGGGGGGGGGGGCACATACAGTAAAGGTGTAAAATAACTATTCACAGCTTGTGAGGTTCGTATTGGTATAGTACATGTATGTGGCATTACTGATTCTCTTAAAAATGAAGTAGTAGATGGATAAGAGGTAGGACAACATATTACAAGTGATAAGAGGATGGACAACATGTGACGAGTTATGACCAACGGTCCACCAATGTAACCAGATCATAATAATGTTGTCACATTATCTGACTGTGTGCGATCTGGCTACATTGATGGACCATTAGTCGTAACTCGTAACGTGCTGTCCATCCTCTTATCCAGGACTACCATTGGCTCACCATCCGAGTTCAAAGATTCATTGTCCAGCGAGGAAATATCGGGCTATGCACGAAAGATAAGTTCGCCCGGATGTCTTCCACTGGGTAAATTTCCCTGGACATTAGTTCTGGCTGGTGACAAGGGAAGCATTGCCGGCATATCTCCAGAAAGATAAGCGGGCTCGACTGTGCTTAGCCGACTACACTATAGCTTAGTGGTAGAGCATCGCTGGCCATCAGCGGCGAGAGTACTTGCTTCGAGTCCTGGTTTTGGCAGTCAATTTTACCTTCAAATTGTTCCCGTTTTATCTGCCTCAAGCTTACTTTCCTATACTGTCACAAGTGTGGAATGAGACATGTTCCTATTTGTTTTGAGAATCAGTATCCATTGTCAACTTGGTGTTGACTAACCCCTATCCACTGTTGTGTGCCCTGTGCACTTGCGTGTCTTCAAATTCTGCTCAGATATCGGGAACGTGTGGTACCATTCATGAGAATGCCCTGAGCACTCGTAGTCCCAACCCTCCGCTCAAGTGTCCAGTGTGCTCTTCAGATAACTCAGAGGTATGTGCATGTGCTGTAATGAAGTAAATCTAACGTTTTAACGAGTTGCATTTCTTCGTTTATTTAACAAGTTCTGTCAAGGCTGTAATGCCTCATATGTTATGTGCACATATGCCGGAGGACTGCAAGATCGTTAGCCTATGAATTTTGGACAATTGTTAAATTTGCGACGCATTAATAACAGGTCTCCCAGCATAGTCAAACAGTGCAGTGCAACGCACCCATCCAAGAGTCATAAAATATAGCCCAGTATAATGCTGCAGCCTCACTTTATACCGGTATGTCAGTGTGAAGGGGCATTGTCTACGGGTGGGTTTTCCCAGGTCTTGCATGCGTTTCTACGAGGGTGACGTGATGTGTAGCCGTCTATCTTCATGGGTCGGGTGGTTGTGGCGAATACTTCATCCTGGTGGATTTCTTGTCCGGCAGACATGTGCCCGAGCTTCGTGCTGCTGCTGCCGTTGCTGTTGCTGCTCCTGTTGCTGCTGTGAACTTGGATCCATGCTGACTGCAGCAGTGACTGAGTTGTCATAGGCTAACATCTCACTGCCTTCAACTTGCGTTTTAACAGTGTTTGCTCTACTGCTATGCTTGCCGTGTAGCCTTTCTTTGTGTCTTTTTCATATAGTGTTGTGCATGTGCTGTGTTGGGTTGGCTAGATCTTGAAAGCACTTCGATCAGTGCAGTCGGAGGCGGATCTTCTATCGCGCACATTTGAAAACATCTCCCACGGTTCCTGCAGTGCCACTGCAGGAAGTCCGTCGGGGCCACAGGGTTGTGCAGGCTGCAATGATTGCCAGTTCAGGTGAGACCCATGCTTCATACAGTGTGTCCAAACTACAGTCAACCTTACGTCCAGGGTCGGTGATTTTTGCATGAACATGTAAATACCTTGGGTACTTCCCAGTGGTCCGCTTTTTATGGAGTTTCGCAATGTAGCAACGGGTGGGGTGAGAATTTCTGACGAATGGTGTCCTGTAGCGCATCATCAGGCCAAGACCATTTGACTCAGCCTATCAGACTACTACAGGTTCCTCTTTTTTCACAATTCTCCATCTTTGTGGAAGAGTGTGTTTTGACTGTCAACATTCCAGAATTGTACTCCCCTTTGTGAGTGTAGAAATCTCAGCTTTGCATTGTCTGCAATAAGCTAGCAGCGCTTACAGTGATGCCGCCTTTGGCTTGTCTTCTTTTCCAGATCCGGAAACACATCTAGTGCAACCGAGACCATTCTAACGAAGCTGGTAGTGGATCTGCCGCGTTTCTTCCGCCCGCCGAAAGCCCGATTCCCAAATTCTATGGCAATGCCTGCTTTCTCATGCACGAAGCCCACTACCTTTCCCGAGCGAGTATACGTTCCTGGAGCGCCAGGATCACCAAACATTCAACCCGGATCACCGGGAACCGCAAATGGCGATAACCGTGGTGGTATTATTTGTGACGATGAAGATGTCAATTGTTGCCAGCAAGGATCGGGTGATGAGTCGGGCAGTGGCAGTGGTGACGGCGGCTGTATTGGATCTGGAAGTGGCGACAGCAGCAGCGGCAGCAGTGGTGCTGGTGGCAGTATCAAACCTGTGGAGAGAGGCAACGACACGGTCGTGAGAGCCACATTTACACTGCCGGGTCCCATCACCCGTGCTCCGATCGGAGCTGCAGCGACGACGGCGGGTGAGAAGGAGACCAAAAGCAGCTCAGCCCCTTCATCAGCGCACCTACTGCACACCGCTGTTTACGTCCTGCTCGCAGTAATATCAGCTACATTAGCTGCTGCGTGCTGATGCAACGTCTACACCATCTACATTGTATCCTGGACTAGTGGTGAAAAGAAGAAAGAACAGAATGTGTGCAACAGGAACAACAGTATTATGTGAGCAATGGAAAATGATGGAAAGGATTAACTATTGACTGCTGGCGACGATGGTTGCATGGTAATACTGATCTATTGTCACTGCACGTCCGCACACGTGTGGCCTTGACTTGAGTTTGAACGGACCAAAAAAAATGATAAATGTCCGCTGAATAATTCTACTACCATGTTTGCATCCCATACTAATATTGATGTTGCCCGTAACAGTACTAACAATAAACAGATTGATGTCCTCCATGTATTGCTCTCTGTACATAACTAAAGAATAATTGAGGTACACACAGATGTGTTTCTAGTTCTGGGTGGTAACATATTCTTGTTTTTCTTTCAGCCTGCACCAGCCAAGGATGGTAATAACAGCTCTCTCTCTCTCTCTCTCTCTCTCTCTGCATGTCACGTCAAACTGTTTCTTCCAAGAAGTGCATTGTGTTGTTAACATGTTTTTTTTGTTCACGGGCATGCAAGACTTTCTATATTATTCTCTCCAGCCACCGGAGTCACAGTTAGCTGGTGCTTCGGCTTTGAGAAGCTGGCTTTTCTTTGCTGCTGCTGGCAGCTGCATCTTTCTTTCTTGGCACGTTCACCTTCGAGGACACGGTGTACAGATGCCGCAGCTTTTATTTCTTCCCTTCTCCACTGTTTCAATTATCTTATGGGTTTGCAGTGCACGTAATGTCACGTTCACATAACACCACCGTCATAATCAAGATTATCACGATTTTGTACTTTCAACATTATTTCAGATTTATTGTCCTTTTTCCTCACTCTCACTCCTTTACTTCGCAGGCTAAAACACAAACCCGTGACATGGCCATAGATCAGCACCTGTAGTAGAGTTGCGTGATTCAATCATCTAATTATTTTATCACCTGCCATATTATTTTCATGCTCGGACATTTGCACTGTGCCTGCTATGAGTCACCTGCTGTGATTGTGTGTATACAACTGTTACAGGAATAGCAGAATCTGTGCTAGCCGAGTGCGAGTATGCGGTCGCACCGAAACACACAGAGAGTGAGCGACTGCTATGTAATAATAGGTAGGACACATCCAGCCTAGGCCAGGTTGAGGCACGACAGCATGCCACCATCGTATCACCATCATCAACTTCAATATCTATAATTAAAAAAATAATAGTCCAACTGTGTTCTGATAGATGGGAAATGCTCATAGCCCCAAGGCCGTTGGCAATTGGGGGTGTTCAGTAGAACTGTAGAGAAAGACTAGGAGAGAACTGGGTAGAGGATAGAAACCATGGAAACAGCACCAATGCGCCACTGTACATAGACTCATGATAGAGGGCATGGCTGCTGACTCAGTCCCAAAGTACCTAAGAGAATAGGGTGAAGAGAACGGGGTCAAGGAGAGGTCCTATACAGAACAATACACATGCAAGAGAGGAAATGGTAGTAGAACAAACACGTAGTGGGAAGTACGCAAGCCATACAGAAAGACACTGAACATACAGGACAGCTTCTAGTCTTGTCCAACTCTGCCAAAGGAATCGCACCTTTCCAGAGCAGCCAAAGCCCAAGCAGAGAGCATATGGCAAGACAAGGATGTGGACGGAGATGTAAGGCGGCGGATGCTAGTTGTGGTGCTAGGGTGTGCAATATGTCTGATAATGCGCGGCTTAGAACTGAGCTGCCACTGCCTTTGCTGCAAACATGTGCAATACGAGTGTCACAATCCCTGGGATCGGTTTCAAGATGTACTTTCTGCACACGTGGAAGACGAATATAGTCACAAAGTGCATAGTCCATTCGTTGCTAAATCGTTGCTGAATGTCGGTCTGATTTGTAGGCATACCTGCGCGCACACACACACACACACACACACACACACACACACACACACACACACACACACACACACACACACACACGCTGGACCCAGTATGCGCTGTGAGGAGGACAATACAGTCAGTCGAAACACAGCATCACACTAGTTCTACCAGCATGCAGCAGCAGCAGCAGCACCAGTGTACATATAGCAGGCGTGCAAAAGCACGGTGAGCTCTCCGGCACTTCTAACCACTTCTAGCGCCGATGTCCACAAGGAGAGAAGACCACGGCAGCAGATGCGATAGCGCCACATGCCTAAAAGCCAAGTGGGTGCTCAGCAATGTAACCACCGTTCTCCACCATCTGACTGGCCAATAGCGACATGCGCTGGTAGTTGTCGGTCTGTGCGATCGACTTCATGCTCTTCAATGTCTGCATGACTCGAGCAGCGTTCTGCATAGCCAGAAAACAACAGCACAGCAAAGAAGCATTTTAAGCTGATAAAGAATGTTAGTACAAGACTGAGGACAAAACCAACACACCAAATATCATAATTCTTTGCGGCCTGCAGTCCAGCAACTTGACCGGGGACCAGACCAATGCAACGAGTGCCAACGACCCAGTAGCTGAGTTACAGCATTCTTGGTTAAATTCATACGATTACTGGAAAAGTGGCAATGCATGAATAGAGGCAAAGCGCGTGCAGCAAAGCTAGACGCTGACGTACCTCAGTGGCAATGAACTCAGCCATGACCTTCTCGTGTGAAGCTGACGGAATACCAGCCTCCAGTGCACGCGTACACCTGTCGCCGCCGTGCACAGTACAGCAATGCAGCAGCAGCAGAGCAATAGAACATGGAGAAGCAAGGGTGAATGTAATGCTACTAAGTGTGGACACTCTGCATGGCGAAATGATGGCATACTTCCAGTTTATCATTACAGCTTGGGATGCTAATGCAGGGGACACGATAAGATTTCGAAATTGCTCTGACACAATGTCCTGCCACTTCTGGAACCGGTCGGACATGGCCGGGCACTGTGATTTTTGTACAAGTCTGGTACTCAGCACTCATAATAAAAAATAATACTTATTGTAACTCGGATGTTGAGCCATAAATAAATGTAAAAGAGAAAAGGACATAATGGACTCTGTCAGTTTTGTGCCTAGTTATTGCACTTTCTGACTGTATATATATAGTATCATGTTACAGTGATGGAGAGTTACTCTTAACTCGTATCCATATGTCCTTTTCTCTTTTACAAATACTTATTGTCTTCACCAATTTCACACACGACACCACTGCATAATGCACACATGCATGTACCGGTACATGCTACATCACACTGCGGTATACCGTATTGCTGGTCACATCGAAGATGATCATCACACTGATCTGAAGTATTGTAACTCTGATTCCAATCGCTGTGCGTTTTTCAGCAAGCATACTGCAGAGTAACCATGGTAACTGTGATATGAGCGTGCAGTGTTTCCGCACATCTCCGATTTGACCTGGTTTTTCAGCGGCAGATCAAAGACATTTAAAAAATAATTTATTTCATGTTTACGCAGTCGACAAAAGACAAAGTGGGCATCTACTTGCCCATTCTAACTTCTTGTTGCCAGCTCCAAGATCGACAACATGTCACTACTCGATTTGGCTGAAGGCTCCCATCTTTGCAAACGCGATGTGCTCTTTGAACAGCACGTAGTTTCTACGCGACGTTGAATTTCTCACTTATTTCGCTGCTGCTGCTCTGTCGATCTTGCACAGCGCCTGTGCAACAGGAGCGTACTTGACTGGATTTGCAGAAGACTGCTCCTTTCGATAGAGGCATATCGCAAGCTGGCACACATTTCTGACGCCTTGTTTCACTGGAACAGGGACGTTTTCAATATTTCGGATTGTACAGTATACAAGCGCCTCGCGGAATAGTTCCTATTGTAGCGAGAAAGCGAAGAAATTTCATTTCAAAACCCCTCGATCGTTTGCTACGCTCAAACTGGAGCTACACTGAAGTGGACAGCTCCCTGTCTTGCTGTAAAACCCTGTTGTCACAGGTTGCTGCTCGGACTTCGTGAGACTTCTTCCCAGGCAGAGCGCCATTGTCCTCAGCCGTTCTCTTTCCCAGCGACGCTATTTCGTGAATTTCGATCGGACAGATTGTCCGTTCAAGAAAAAAAGCGCCGGATTCGAATCGAAAATGGTCGGAAAATGTCCGATGTCCGACCGTTATCGTGTGCCCTGCTGTCGTATCCATACGATTGGCACGTGCCTTTTAGGCCTCTACGGGACAAGTATGCCTTATTTAGTTGTTTTATTATTTATCTATCTCCCGTAAACGGGTTCATAATCGTCTTTATTTTATATCTTCACACACGAGGCCTCCCTTATTTTGTCTACGCTGTGATTTCCCCACATGGCTCCCGCTCTTCGTACACATATTTATTACGGTGATACGCTATTGCATGCGGGACCAGCAATCTCGTGGCCATGGACTTCCATGGACCATGGCCGCAACTAGATACTATTGCGTTGACTTTCCTTCTCTCTCTCTCTCTCTCTCTCGCAACTTCGTCTTTACGGCAAGTCACGACTTTCTCTCCTCTCGTTTTGATAAGTATCGTTTGATATTATGTCTAACCGCAAGATGCGAGTCTCGATGTGAAAGTATAGGCGTGTGTGTGTGTGTGTGTGTGTGTGTGTGTGTGTATATGTGTGTAAGTATGTGAATGCGGGTGCTGTATATGTGAGGGCATGGCGCGGCGAGTGAGTGTATGTCTAGGTGTGGTGTGACCCGAACATGTCTAAATATGTCTGATGTGCGAGTGTATGTGGTGTCGGTATGTTTAATAATGTAATTGTAGTTACGGCCACCACTGCACGGCCTGTAATGGGATAGTTGTAGATTAGTCATGTTGGTGCCGCGGCTCCGGGGCCTAACTCCGGGCCGCCGGACTACGACATTTGGCGCAGTGAACAGGATCCGATACTATTGTGTGCTTTGTGTCTGTTGTCCTCAGTACTGTAGGGACCCGTCACACCCTGACGGTGCAACTACGGGCGGCACGGAACGCCGCCGCCCCGCATCGTAACTGTGATGGCCGACGGGCACTTAGAAAATTTCAAAGTTTCAAGAGACGGCGGAACGCCGACAAGTCAAGCCACGGTCCCGGGCGGTTCGGGACACCGCCGCCCGAACCAAACTGTTGAAACAGAAGAAACATGCCTCGCCATCTCGCCAACGGCGTAACTGGGAGCGTGTGCTCAAACTCCGGGCGAAAAAGAAGCAACAAAGACGACAGCAACACAGTGGCGAAATGATGGTCACCCCGGCCCCTCGGTCCGTCGACACCTCGGCCGTCGACTCTGGCTTGGAGGACCTTCAAGACTGGTCCACGACGGACATGTCCTTGGACGAATACTTCCGTCGGACCGAGGGAAACTGGCTGAGGTTCGAAGATCAGGATTGACCGTCACGAACCTCAGCCAGGTCGGTGAGTACCCATGCCTGCGTGAATGGTTGTCGTTTCAATATTTGGTGACTTGTTTCCTTTTTTTGGCTATTCCTTTATTTATTTTTGTTGGGTATGGCATTCCTATGATGAGCGATTATGACGGAACGTACGACTCGTGGAATGGTGCAGCATTCCCGGTATGGGAGTACGCGCCGCCGCATGCGGCGCAACGACCCTGAGGGTGCCGCCGGGTACAATTGATTGCATCGTACCTGGTATTGGATAAGGGATTGTTGTGCTGTATGTTCGTACGGTAACGCAATGCATCGGGTTCTGGTAAAATGGTGGAGCGAGCTGGAAATCGTCCTCAGTTGCCAGTTTCGTTCCACCGAGTGGTAGTGTTTTCTGTTCTTTGGTGTTGGCTCTCCGTCCGTTTCTTCTTCTTTTGCTATTCTTCTTGTTCTCTTTTGCTTCTAGAATGGCACAGAGAGGAACCCGTGCCCAAATGGCTGCCGCGGCGGCTGCCCCGCAACCTGCTGTTGCCGGTGGTCCCGTCGCCGGAAGAGCTCCGGCTCCTGCTGGTGCTGCTGCTGCTCCTCCTCCTGCTGCTGCTGCTGCTCCTGCTGCTGCTGCTGCCGCTCCTGCTGCTGCTGCTGCCGCTCCTCTTGCTGCCGTGCTCGCTCCTCCAGGTCCTCTTCCAGGTGTCGCGGCTCAACCGGCTCCGATGCCAGTGCTCCCAGGGCACCCTGCCGCCTACTTCGGCGGGTATGGAGTAATGGTCTCATTACAGTGAAGTGATGAATACCAACTAGAGCCAGCACTGATGAATATCGTATATCAGTTGTTGAAGACACCGCAGTGTTAAGTCACACCGCACATCACAGTGTGCGGTCATTCCAGCACAAGCACATGTCATAGATCTACACTGCCTGCTTATGTGCATACTCTCAGGTGCTAAGAATTTGTAGACATCTAGAGCTCAGACCATGCACGTGTCTTGGCCTGTATTCAACACACAACACAGTACAGGCTAACTGTATAAAAAGGTGTAACAACACGGCGTAGCTAGACATGACTACAGTACTCGCAGCCTGTTGTTGCATTGCAGCAGCGGGTACAAAGCATGCACTCACCTAGCCAGAGATGCAACCATGCCGTAAATGTCAATGGCACAGTCGGCATAATGCTTCAGAGCAAACTGTTGGTCTGAGGGCAGAAATGAACAGAAATACAACCAGATTCAACACCACCGTGATGAATGCTACACAGCCATGAACAACACTCAATCTCAGCTAATGGGTAAACTCTTGCCGTGCCGTGGTCTATTTATTAACCCTTTAAGAGCCGCCCCATACTTGAATGCGTCGTAAACGACGCATTCAAATACAAAACTTCAAAAGATCGTAACTCAGTCCAATCTCGCTCAAATCCATCGATCAAAATATCCAGGGCGAAGAGAAAACTCTCACCTGTCGGGAGAAACAGTCCGCGAAGCGCTGCGAGGAATGGTTCCTGAGATAAATCACTCGTAAGTTGAGCCGCGATCGCGGCAATTTCAAAAGCGCGCAGTGCAACTTTAGTATTGAGAATTTTGAGACTTTTCGTCACGCTGGTTTACTCGAATTTGCACGGGTTTCACTGTTGATATTGTCAAGAGTACACAGCAAAAAAATTGGAACTCCACGATCGCGTAAAATGAAATATCTGGAGCGGGACGCAATTGGACGCATTTGGGGCATTTTTCGTACTGTCGCTGCGATCTAGCGCTGGATAGACGGTGTGCTGGCTATCATGATCAACCTCATTCTCTTTCTCTCGCGGAGACCGTTCCAGGAAGCCCTAGATTGTGAGGATTGAGTGAGTAGAACTGCAGCTATGATCCGAGGAACACGAAAAAATGCAGAATTTTGAAAATTTCCTGTGGCTCTTAAAGGGTTAATAATAATGATTATAGTCTACAGAGGGTAATATTCATTAGTTGAGGGAGTTGAAAAGGGAAAAGTCTGAAGAAGAAATTGACAGTCACCACCGGGACTCGAACCAGGGACCTTCGCTTGAGGATAAGTCAACAGATATTTCTCCTTCTGGAGGCTGCTTTGCAGTGGGCAGTGTGCTCATGGCAACAGCAGTTTCCACACCGAGGGCTCATTGAAAATAAATCCTGTGACATACACAGCCGTTGGCAGTACACAGTGGACAAAATGGAACAAAGTAGTAGTTGTAACTCAGAATTTCACGAAGGCAAATGGCGATCATCAGATACGTGTAGCAATTGCTGTCTTATCATCGCCTTTTGCCTGCGTGAAATCACAGCAGCAACTAAGGACTTGTTCCAGTTTGTTGACAGTGCGGACGACCAGCTTTGCTCATTGTGCGTTGAGCACTATGGCACTAACAACAGTGCATGCCAGCAGTTGGCAACATGCTGTCCCTCCAGAAACTTGCGGAGACATTTCGGAAATATCGCGGAAAAAGTCGCGAGGTAAAATGCCACAAATTGCGGGGAATATTGCGGGATTATTGTTGGAAAATTCCGGCCGATTTTGGTACTTGTGCTGTAGTGGTGTACATGGTGTACGATGTACGAGTCGTACAGCATAAATCATGCATTATTCCGTTTCTCCCCGGAACCGGGATTATCCACACACAAAGATCTCCAGGACACAATGTTTACACTGACTCATGATCTGAAAACAGTCACAACTCTCCAAGAACTCAAACCTGAACATCTCCACAACTAGGCTAAAACCAACTCTGGCCTAACAAAAGATAGCAATAGCTAATAACAGTGCACGCACATACATGGTATAGAAAGACCCTATGGCAACACTCGACCATGTAATGTGATACAACAATAGAATGCAGACGTCTAGACACCAGAGTACTGAATAGACCTGACACATGGCCTTCTTGATGGGAATGCATGAATAGAAGCACACATGGATCATAGCTCTAACACATCCGCCTATCCATATCACGCATGAATGATTGTACTCTAACAGCCAGCATGCTGCACCAGTCTAACTGCAACATGCATGACAAAACAGAACGTGTGCTGCGCTGACTGTGTTCAACTGCCTGACAGGAGCTTGCAAGACAGCTTTCCTCCATCCTCGGACAACACTCGACGCGAGCCTTATTTTGTGACTTGTCAGCCGCTGATTTGCCCAGAAACTTCTCCATTCTGGTGTCGATCTCACAAGTAAACTACTGACGAGCTTCAAGAACTAAACAACATCGAAGAAAGACTCGAATATCGCGGTTGCTTTTCGAAATATAGCGGTGCTTTTCAAGTATCAAGGACAGTTTTCTACAATAACGCGGATGATTTCTCAAATATCGCGGATATCACGGACTTTTGTTCAAATTGCGGAAAACAACGCGGCCGCGGAATCGCAAGTTCCTGGAGGGACAGAACATGGTTTCAACACCAGCCACAGCAAAGAACAGACAACTCACCGACAGCCGACTTGCCATGCTCCTGCAGGAAGGATGTAATGGCCGCACCAAAGGCAGGAATGCACTGCTCGGCCTGCCATACAAAACAAGGCAAAAACGCACGACAGGATGACAGGATTGGAGGCCTGAGACCGGTGAAGAGCCAGTTCAAGAAATGACCCGAGATATACTCCTCCCGGGTGTAAGTGCCCCCCCCCCCCCCCACACCATTGGACCATTGGACGCCCATCGCCGGAGGCGATGATAGCGATGCTACAGCAGAAGTCATAGCAACTTGTGCTGGGATTGCACCATTCATCAGCTTGCAAGGCTGAAGAATTGGCCACCACTATTCAGCCTGGTCTATACCACACAGCTATGAAGTGGCTTTTTCTGGCCAGTGAATCCCTACTTTTTGGTCTTTTTTGTTTATTTTTCCCGCACACACATCACACCACATACACACACACACGCACGCACACACACGCACACACACACACACACACACACACACACACACACACACACACACACACACACACACACACACACACACACACACATACACACATACACACACAGAGTAGGGCGACCAAGACAGCAATGGAGATGGAGCAGCAGCAACCATTCTTACCTGAGAAGCAGCAAACTTGAGTTCGGGATGCACGGCCTCAGAGATGGCACTGCCAGATGGTGTGCTCCTACAGAGATGAAAGCACAATACAAATGAAGCAGGACCCACCGACGTCCATTCATCAAACATGGATGCCGCACAATGCAACACTATGCTAGGTAGTGATGGCTCAGTCATCAAGAGACATACATACACATGGTGATCTACAGCAAAAGACATACACCGGCAATGCCTGCGTACGCTACAGTATCCACCTGTGACACTACCGATCAGAATGATCGCACAAGACCGAGGCACAACATAACTCCGTGGCATATGTCGCATTGGGAAAGAGAAAGAAAACAGATTGCCCATACACATGCCATACACGTTAACACCTAACAAAGGGGCTGATCAAGGATATATAAAATAAATATGGATCATCATAACTCTTTCTCAGACTCAAGCTACCCTTCAAAGTCATAATTCAGGATAAATCAACATGCAAACGACAGCACGCATACCATAGCAATTGCTTGGAGGTGAAGTCAGCAATGGCGCCAATGTCCAACTTGCCCATTGCCTTCGCCTGTTTCTTCAGTGATGCTCCAGCAAACTAAATAAAACACCGGCAGAAAGGATCAAACCTCGTCAGTTAGAGTTGAGTGGACACCAACTTACAAGTACCAAACGTCAAAAATAGAAGAAAAAATACACCTCCGACGGGATTCGAACCCGCAACCCCCGGCTTAGGAGGCCGATGCCATATCCATTAGGCTACGGAGGCTCCACGGGATAACACAGGCTGAAATACAGATACAAGCACGCTGTATGATGTAAATGCCTGCTGCTGTACACTACAAAACCACCAGTAAACTCGCTCACCTGGCAACCGGTCAGAGCAATGAGAAGTCTGAGGATTTCGTTGGTGCCCTCAAAGATTCGGAAGATTCTCAGATCACGGACAATACGCTCCAATCCGGTTTCCTAAACACACAGTTCAAGATACCAAAGAAGTAGCACACATTATTATTTACTTTTAGACAATATCTCCAGGCAAGTCAAAAACGGCCAGTTGATCAGTTGAGATGAAGGGTGAGAGCCAACCATTTACAAATTGTACGAGTACACTTTCGCCTGATTCATATTTCATTTCGCAGACCGAAACACCACACGATGGACCTAACAAGTTGAGCTCAAGTCAACTTTTCTTTGCAATGCACGCGTTCCTGTACGCGAAATGAATCATGAATCAGGCTTTACAAACTGTACATTCACTTTGAGAATTGAAGCAAGTCTGCACCGACCAACCTAGCCAACTCGTTGGATAACATCGGCCTACTTTTGAGTGCCCAGAAAACACAAGTCCTGCGTGTAAAGCCCAGAGGCACAGTTGATGTTCAAAGATGCGTGCATTACTGAGAACAATCCCTGGGAGTAACAACACCAGCGAAATACCTCTGCGTGTCCAACTTTTCATCGACAACGATCTCTCCCGGCAGGCACACATCAGCCATGGCACACGGAAGGTCAGGCAGGTAATCGGACCACTATGGTGACATGGCAGGTCCCCAAGCCTAAGAGCCCGTCAGGTCTGGTATGAGAGTATGATACAGGCTCATCAGTCATAAGGATCAAACTGCTTCTCCTCCAGCCCTTCAAAGCAGCTCCTGGATAGACTCCATGGGCTGTCAAAAGCCGGTGTCAGAGCGACCCTGCAGCAAAGGACTCTGGTCCCCCCCCCCCCTTTTCTGGAGCTACTCGGTGAGCCAAACTTGATACACCTTCTCTTTCAGAGGCATGCCATGTTCATTTTCAAATGCCTGGATGACAAGACAAGTCCACTTTTGAAGCCTCTATTCATGACGATTAGTGACCCGGCCACCCCTCAACTGATGCTGTTTGATAGCATAATTATCGGCATAACATTCACTCAACTCACCTTCATGAAGCCCATGCCTCCGTGAATCTAAACAACCAAAACAACAGTGGAGAGGATAGAGAAAGAGACCACATCAGATGAGAACGCATTGCATTTACCGAGACACAGGACAGAACATCACAGCCAAGCCAACACAGAGCAAGTACTGTACCAACAGCTCCGGGATAACAGCTTATCACAAGACTCGTAGGCAACACACTTGGCATAGGACACAGAGCAAGTTAGTTTATCCCAAGTGCTCACACACACACACACACACACACACACACGCACACACACACACACACACACACACACACACACACACACACGCACGCACGCACGCACACATTGCCTATACATGTGTGTATAGTGGTGCACAAGGCGTAGAAAAATAAACATGAACATGTTTGTAGCATACTGGCCATGCGGCCACTGTTAGGTGCCCGAGCGCACCAGCAAACAAGGCTGAAGTTGTCATATGCGACACTTACCTGGATAGCTTCATCAGCAACCATCCATGCAGACTCCTAAAACAGAGTTGATTCAGACACACAACGCTTCATGTCAGAATCAGTGAATCACCATGAATTTCGTAACATGATCAACAAAACAAGAAGTCAAACGAAACAGTTTCAGGACAGAGCAATTCATCAACTTACAGATGCAAAGACTTTGCCAATAGCTGCCTCCACCTGGAACTCAGTAACACCACGGTCCATGTTGGAACTAAGCATGTAGGCGATAGACTATCGGCAACAACAACAACAACCACCACCAACAAAAAAGTGAGAATAAAGATTGGAAACAACAACAACAACAACAACAACAACAACAACAACAACAACAACAACAACAACAACAACAACAACAACAACAACAACAATCTCTTATTGGCGATGGTGCCTTCGTGAGAATAAAGAATTCAAATCAGCACACGAAGCAAAGAATTAAAAAAAAACCAAAAACAATAGCAAGTTAGGAACATGCAGGCACTCGGGCATGACCACTGAATCCTTCAAGTCCCTAAATACAGAAATGGTACTTCAAAGTAGAACAACAAAAACAACTGCAGCAAAGGTCACTCACAACATACATCAATATCCATGTGGGCAGACTTTCCTGAGAGTTTGCAGTTGAGTTTACCCCCCCCCCCCCCCCCCCCCCCCCCCATTAACCCCATAGCAAGACTATAATGCAAGTCTTGCTAGTCCTGTCTCAGTTTTGTCCAGTTGCACTGTGCATGGGAGCTTCAGGAACATACCTCTGTGGCATAACAAGCTGCGGACATGCGGGCCAGCTTCTCCTGGATTGCACCGAACGTGTGGATCTTTGCCTTGAACTGTGTACGATCCGTGGCAAACTGAGTCTGTATTCGTAACAACAGGACAAGGCAGAAAAGATGGCAATGAGGAGACATGTCATAACCCAGGTCATTGCACTAACATTCATTACAGTCTAAACTCGAATGATCACAAATTAGCCTAAGATCGGTGAAAAAAAGGTACTGTAGGCTTGCCTAGCTGCAAAACAGTCACTTTTTCAGACAACACTGTAAGGTATGCATTGTACCGTGTACATGGGTACTTGTTGAAGCCATGCCGGTCACAACCTATGGCGTACCTGCAAAAGGATTCTGTTAGGATTGAGCGAATCCAGCCCGTCTCCAAATTATACAAAGCAATTCCTCCTGCATTTGGCACTGATAATGCCTAAGGAACGACTTGGCTCGTAGACACCGCCCTTGCCGACATCCGGTTTGCATTCAAATAATACTGAAGTAGCTACAGTCGACTCCACTTTATAACAAGCTCGCATGTAGCGAATTTCGTGATACACAGTATAGCGAACCATTGTCCATGCCCGTGTTTCAGCCTGTGCAAATTGAACTTCGGCTCAAAAGAAATAATTTTCCAGCACATTGGTGTTCGTTATAATCCAGAGTCGACTGTACATGCATTTTCACGTTGCCAATACAATCCAGAGTAGCTACCAGTACTTACAGCCTGAGCGATCATTTTCTTCATGCTACCGGTCAGCGCCGCGCCCATGCCAAAGCGGCCGTTGTTCAGGATATGCATGGCTACCTTGAATCCCTTGCCATACTCTGCAAGGGGAATGCACAACATCAACCGAAAAGTGCGGCAAATGCAGAGAATCACCACAGAGCCCAACAGTCCTATTGGCCTTGGAGGTAAGTGAAAGTGACTACATGTACCTGATTCGACTAAAAGTACTGATGTTCACCAAACTTGATTCGACTGAAAATGATAACTAACCTTTGAAAAACGAATCTACAAATCCACACATCACTTTTTAGTTCACATTACGACTTTGATCTGTAACATATGTGGACTAGCAAAACTAACCTCCGAGAAGATTTTCCTTGGGGATTTTCACGTTGTCGTAGTAGACCTGCAGGCAAGGAACGCATGTGGAATACATCACAGATACATCACCATGCCCAAGACAGAATCTGATAGAGCTGCAGTGCTATGAGAACACTCTACTCGACCAAACTGTAAATGTTTATATTTCCGGATAAACAACCAACAAAGAATAGTGTACGTCGCACAAATATCTCAACCAGGAAACTGTCAGTAATACACGAGGACGTGAGAATAAAGACCCACCTCAGAGGTGTTGGACGCCTTGATTCCCATCTTCTTCTCAGGTGCGCCGCTGAGAAACAACAAAACATAACACACAACAACAACAACAACAACAACAACAACAACAACAACAACAACAACAACAACAACAACAGCAACAACAGCAACAGCAACAACAGCAGCAGCAGCAGCAGCAGCAGCAACAGCAGCAGCAGCAGCAACAGCAGCAACAGCAGCAACAACAACAACAACAACAACAACAACAACAACAACAACAACAACAACAACAACAACAACAACAACAACAACAACGAACAAGCAAACTAAATTAGAGGTAACAACTCATTTTGCATCATGTCTTGTTTTCTTTCGGCAGTACATGTAGATCGACCACAGGAACAAGACATGGACAAGTTCCTTGGAATTACACATGGGGATAATTTTCAAAGACTTCCTGCTACCATGCATCCAATGCACCAGTGCTATGGTGCCATAGATGATGACAACGGAAAAAAATAGTTTCCCCCTTCAATTCAGTGCGACCTAGCATTTCGGTCCTTTTTCGGATAATCAATTGTTCGGATAATGAACATTCCACTGTAATGAGAGCTGAAAATAGCTATAGCCAATGCTTGCTCAAGACATAACAGTTAAAAAGTGAAACACACGAGAGCTACAGTGAGCTACTTTTCATAGCGCCATACTGATACGTACAATGCTGGCAAGTGAAATCCAACCTAGAGCGTACTACTGTATAGTAACAGTCCTGCTGGGAATGCACAACCCAAGCACCATAAGCAGTGGACAGTGCACTGTACCACGGCTCTCCTTTACTCATGGAGTTGGATTTCATTTGCCACCCCTGTCCATGCAGTAACTGGCACAACACACTAACCTGGTCACACCACCAAAGCTTCGCTGCACAATGAACGCAGACACCTTGTCCACCATCTGGCCGGTTTTTTCATCACGCACCGGCGTCTAGATTTGGAACACCCATGCACACAACCATGCACGCACAGCCACACACACATACGGTAAACGCACAAACCAGAATATGCCCATCCACTTGAGATACATGCAAGGAAATACCAACACCCCGTCAAGAATACTGAGTTCACCCATGGCTGCAAATCTGACCAAGAGAATACAACAAAAGGCACCAGTGGCAATGGGGTAGTTAGAGCCAGAGGACACATGGTCAACTATGGATAGATGCAAAACAAAAAGAGAACTATGACGTGGTGGTAATATGCATTTAGACTGGTTTTCGAGCCGAGGCGGAAAGTGGACAGGTCATGCCTGAAACGAAGTACATGCAAGAGTGCAGTGCCTAATCTACCAAGTTGCCACAATTGTGACCAGCTTACCTGGGCAAAAACGGTCATGACCTCAGCAATGCTTCCGTTGCTAATCCTGCATTGCACGACATGAAGGAACAAAGAACAAATGTTTACTGTTTGATCTGGGAGTATGCCATGCTACGCCAGCCTGCAGCACATCTATTAAAGAATCCCTCAAGACTGAGCTCGCCAAACAAGTAAAGCATGATACCTCATCTCAGGGCAAACAAAGGGTTCGAGCCCCGCGCTGGGCGCCGATAGTGAAAAGAAGACGACGCACAACCAACAGACCCAGCAACAAGGCCATGGAAAAGGTAAGATCAAAAGAAGGCATGAACCAGCGTGTGTACTCTAGATAAATGCCCAAGAGGCAAGCCATAGCAAGGTAAGGTGTGCATATCATTACCCAGGCATATACGATAAGATAACATACATGCAAGAGGACGTAGAAAATACAGGCACCGTACACTACAAATTGCCTGCGGTGCTGCTTTGGGCGCTTGGAAAAGCACCCCTAACGATTGTTGACATAGGTTGACTCAATGCACTCTTGCCAGCAAACGTGCAATAACTCTGTTGAATGCAATAACAATGGCTGAGATACTTGTATCATCACCCCCTCCCCCCAGGGCACCCTGGGCTAGACTGACAGGGAGGTGATAGGTAAGCAAACACAGAACTCATAGTCTTACCAGATCTTGCTTCCATTCAGGATATAATGGCTACCATCCTCGCTAGGAACAGCACGGGTTCTAATCGACTGAGAGAAAAAAAGAAAAAGGGAGTGAACAACAATTGTTGAGAATGACTGTTGAGACACACTCCTAAAAGAGAAGACTTATAGTAAACATGAAACGACTAAACAAGCACAACATGAAAGATGTGCAGTTCCGAAGCAAACTAAGCAATGGAGGCAGAGATTTGTACAAGTAGTTGACACGAGCTTAGGATATTCCGCAAAAAGGGCTAAAACGATGCAAGGGCGAGAAATTAGCGAGCTGCGCATGTCCTGCAACACAGTGCGAAAGTCCTGCCTGACAAAGTAGGTCAGGGTGCAGTGACAGCTGTGGTGGTGCAAAGGCACTTCCAGGTAGACAAAGATTAATACGAATGCAATAATCACACCATCACGAAGACTTCTACCAGACTGGGAATTTATGTACAGGGATTTCCATAGAAATTGTGCTATTCTTTGGAACACTCTTGGCAAAGTGAGATAGATGCAAACATGTAGCCTCTTCTGGCATTCCTCACACAAGTGTAAACCAGCCCTCTCCCTCCCAAACCCATGCACTGAGTCAAACAAGGGAGAGCAACTGCACAAGAACGCTGGCATGTGTGTGGTGCAGATCATAGGCACTAACTTACTAAGTCTATCACAGCACACCCACAACACTACAAACACCACTACAAAAAGCACCAAAGGGCACGGCGTTCTAATACAGAGCGGGGCATGGGGTGCATGTAGGCCAAGATAATGGCACCTGTACACACTGGCATGATTGATCCAGTTCACCACTACTAGTAACTCTTGGTGTGCTACACTATCACGAGCAATGATCACATACACAGTTGTATACAAGAGCACACAACGAATAGGAGAAGTTACGATCCAGTCAAAACCAGCGCTCTACCTTGTGTTACAAAATACAGGTACAATGTACTTTGAAGTGCATTATATACTGTGGTAGCTCAGAGTCCAAGAACCATACAGGTCTCTCGAGAAGAGAGAAAAAAAACATGAGAGCAAGCAAGCAATAATCACTTACATTGGCATCCGAGCCGCTGCTTGGTTCCGTGAGGCAGAAAGCAGCCACCCACTCTCCAGAGGCCAGCTGTGACAATCAGAAGCAGAACATAGAAAACAGCTAAATGAACGTCATTGTGAAAAAAAGTGCACCACAGGAAAGATTCGTAATGTACAAGTGCACTCGAGTTAGGGTAAAATGGTGGCAGGGTGGCAACTTCTGTAAATCACAACAACTGCACAGACGGCTGCTGCGATACGGATGGCAAAGTTGACATCACACTTCAAAAAGCAGTCACCAACCCCTGCAGAGCACCACAGACGTATTGAACAGCACATTGATACCAGTGAGATGACATTCACAGAAGATAAAAGGGACACACAGCGACTCGTGACGTTTTGCTCACACTGCTCAGTTCGGCATAACCCGTTCCGTGGGAGCACAGTGCACAATCAACTACAAACAAAACAATGCTGCCTCGGCACAACCATATCTTGCATATAGCATATAACAGGAAGGCAGCAATGCATGTACCTATGGTGAAGTAAGATTGAGTATGGTGAAGTAAAATAAACATAGCGTAACATATATCATACCTTTGGCAGGTACTTTGCCTTCTGCTCCTCAGTACCGACGAGGAGAATACCCTTGAATCCGATAGACTGCGCACACAAAATGCATCAGATCACCGGCAAGCCAAAACACAGGGAGACACACAACGGTTAGAAGAATCCACAAGCCAAAAAAAGAGTGCAGTGCTCCACAAGTCTTCTTTATATTTTACTGAAAGGAGAGAACGTGTAGCAAGCAGCACGGATTACACGGAGAAAAGAAGAGCCCTGCCAGACTGACCTGGTGAGCGCCAATCTGGATGCCAACACCCAAGTCATGTGCACCGACAATCTCAGTCAACCTGGCGTACTGCACAAACGCAAGAAACAGAACAGAAACAAACGACATGGATTGTACATGAACTGCTTGAAATAAGCAGTATACGTCCAGAGAACCTACTATCCTCAACACATGCAACCACTCTGTAAAGAACTGCTCCGTCGCATACTTCCCATCGGCATTAACCAGCTAAAAAAACAACATTGAGTGAACAGCCATCAGTGAACATGTGCTACGTACAACATGTAATTCATGCCGCATGAACATGAAGTACATTTTACCTGAGTGTTGGTCAGACCAAGGCCACCATGCTCATTGGGAACCTGCAGGCCAAAAGCACCGAGCTCGGCCAAGCCCTTCATGATATCAGCCGGCACCTCGGCCACCTCGTCATTGTGAGCAGCATCGTTGACTTCCTGTGTATAGCATACAAGAGGAACAGCAGCCGTGTGTGGCCGTAAGCACATTTACGTACATGTACGCTGGTAGAATTGGGCTAAACCAGTATCCATCCAGTGAAAGCAGTTTCAACAACGAAATCCCAAAGCCGTGCAGAGACCTACCTCGAAGAACTTGGTTGTGGGATCAACCAACATTCTGGTCTCTTCATTTTGCTCCTCAGTCAACACTGTTAACGAAGCAAAAGGAACAACAGGGAGAGCTACCTGTAGGCCAGTACACGAAATGATAGATAACACATGAAGAAAGTCTGACCCATGACAAGATTTGTGACATTTCCAGCATCCTGATCACTCAGGAATCGCCCGGACATTTTCGGTATTCTGTACAAGTGGGTACAGATTGCATCGACACCAAATAGAAAAAAGCCCACGCACTGTATGGGCGTAGAGGATGTCAGCTGATCCTAACCTTGCGGGTAGGGGAAAACCTCGCTGGTGTTGATATCTCCACGGAAAATGTTCAGAGCAAACGAGGGTGAGTCCTGCAAAAATAAAACGGAAGAGTGCAGTGTATAAAGAGCCAGCCAACAGATACTAAGAGGCGATTTACACGACGGCAGGATTCATCCCGTGCGTGATGCTGCCATAGAGATTCAGTCACATGTACTCATATTTCGGCGCGAACGTATCCCGCGAGCTATCCCGGTACGGTGCCGGTGCCGTGATGGGGCTGGGGGTGGGGGGGGGTGGAAATGCATACCGTGACATTCCGTGGTCTGTTTTGTACTACAGGTACTGTACGTGCATCCTGCCGTGTGAATCGATTTTCATTTTTCCCGAAAAAAAGCCAAGCACTCGGGATCACGTGCTTCACTTCCCGGAAGGATGCACTGCCGTCGTGTAAATCGCCTCTAAAGACTAGGATTACAAAGAACAGAAAGCGCACCGGAACAAGCAGCAACACACACACAAGCAATGCGAGGAGGATACACAAAAGGAGCAGCCATCGAAGAGCTCGCCCCAACCGCAGTTGCGTTGCCAGCACCCTGTGTGCTGACCTTCTATGAACTGTATACAAGATCTACATTGTACATGTAACAAGAGAGCACCTCAAGGCACTCACAATGCTTCACTGACTGATTACAAGGACTGGCTAGTTTGCAAGAGTCAGCGGGACAGTAGTATTCACCTACTAGTAGATTTACACTCTACCAACGGAAAGGAAATCACTTACATCAGAGATCTGACGATGTTGAACTGCCGCAGGGGCAGCACGCAATGACTTGAGAACACTACTACACACACAAGCACAGCAGGAAAAATCGAGATGTCAATTTGTATGTGTGCTACTCCAAAACGAATTGCTAATTTTGCTTGCTATTGGGTTTGCATGGCGAGTTCCCAGATCCATCCCCATGTCAGTAAAGTCAGAGCACTGTTTTCACTGACATGTCAGTGAATTTACAAACCGGAGTGTCCTGTATAGAAAGCCTGTTTTGAACACGAGCCCGATTAGAAATATGCACTGGTGGCACATAAGCCTGGTTTAGAGTCGACAGATATAGAAATACATGGTCCGAATAGAAGCCGAGCACTGACAACGTCTTCTACAGGAACAAATCCGGGCTTTATATGCGACACTACCGTAGTACTGTTTCACTGAAATCACAGTCATACTGTAAATCTCCCCGAATCCGGACTCCCCAGATCTGGATCTGGGCACTCCCATCATCCAGCAGGCACCTTTCTGCCCCTCTTGAGTCACAAAATGATTTTTCACCAACAAAAAACACCTAAAATAGTGATTGGCATGGAAAGTGTTAAATTGCATGAAAAATTGCAAACAGTATCTGTGCTCTGAGTTGCATGGGCAGTGCCCGGGGAAGGGGGACTCCACTGCATGCGTATGCACCCAACAACTGAAATGGTTCATGCAATAAGGAATTGGATGAGCATGCAATCGGACTTGGAAAGCATTTCCCAGTACGGACCTGTTCCTTTTGCTATGAATACAGTGGAGATTGGATATAACGACAAATCGAGTTTAGCGACAAAATTCTGTCCTTTCTGTACGTCATAGATCGGGTATAACGACCTGAAAATGAATCGAATCTAACGACTTTCCTCTTGTATCAGGCGAAGTGGCATGCATGGGACATGTCTGTGTCACATGCCCGGACCTCCGGGTCACTCCAAGCGTGCTGCTCATTGCACAATGTAGCCGCAGTGCAGTGGTGTAGTTGCTATGCATGACTTTTGGCTTGAACTATATGCATGCAAGACACATGCAAATACACCTCCGAAATCCATGTACAGCTGTACATATACATGTATACTAGAGAGGTTCCGCACTACGTAAAGTTGAGCAACTTTACGTTAGTGGGCGGAAAAAACCCGTGAATTAGCGAGTTTGCACTCCACTTACGGAAAGTTGTCTACGGAGAGTACGTAGATAGGGCTCTGATAACGTAGCTGGTCCGTAAGTGGATTGGGGTACAAATTTATGACTCTCGCCCCATGTCGATCTGGTCGTACACTGCCGCGTTCGGAGTTGCCAAGGGCAGCTACGTGATTTGAAAACTCTGTATGGCGGAACCCAGATGCGCATGCATGCAGTTTACGTAAGACTTTCCGTAGATCGACTACGTTTTTTACTAACCTAATTACGTTTTTTTTTCTTTTCTTTTTTTACTAAGTACACAACCTACTCGGCAGAAGGGGAGAAGACAACAGAGTATACAATAACAAAACAGCAGGGAGAGTAGGGGCTGCAAAGCAAGCCTGTGCTGGTGAGGCAAGCCCACAACACCGACCTATGGTCTCGGCGTTAACGTGAGCTTGCGCACCATAGCCTAAAAGAAGGGGGTGATTTAGCGATAAAGACAAGAGAAGGTTAGGTAGAATGGTTGAGGAGAGAGAGAGAGAAAAGAGAGAGAGAGAGAGAGAGAGAGAGAGAGAGAGAGAGAGAGAGAGAGAGAGAGAGAGAGAGAGAGAGAGAGAGAGAGAGAGAGAGAGGGGGGAGGGGGTGGGTGGTGGGGTGGAGAGAGAACAATATGCATATCTGCAATACATTTCTGTCATTTTGATATACCGTAAATTACCGCCAGAGCGCCCCGTCTCGCGAGAGCGCCCCACCTTTATTTCACAGCCAGGGAAAGGAAAATCGTATGGCAGAGTGCAACGAAGTTTGTACGATGTGAGAACCTTAGTGTACTAAGGGCACACGTGGCAGGTTTTTGTGTAGAGCCTGTGTCCACTCGAAGGTACAGATTGACTGCATAATGTGGAATATGTGTACAAGGTTCGTGTCGTATGACCTACAGACAGCAGACCACCTCCACAATACGACCACGAAAGGATGAGATGGTGGGGCGCTCTGGTGGTACTTTACGGTACATGTACATATTGCATACTAAATGTGAAGATCGGGTTTAGTGACAGATTGAATATAGCGACTTTTCGTCTTCTCCGAAGGAGTGTCGTTATATCCAATCTCCACTGTACTACATTTCTGCATTCTGTAGCACGGCGAGGAGGGTCAAAGGTTGGCATGTAACAAACGGAATACCAAAATCGCTTTAGTGAATAGAAAGGTTAGTAATTTAACGCTACGCAACTCGCAATTAATTACAGAACGAGTTGCTGACTCGCTTTTGAATCTCGAATCAGACCTGACTGACTGGGGATTCCGATGTGACTCGTTATGAACAAGCAGAGATCCATAGATCCATAGCGGGTGGTGGCGTTCCTACGGATGCGGAAAACTCAGCCTGAAGCCGAGTCCCACGGCCACGCGAACTGTGATTTTTTTGTTTTGTTATGAACTCGTTATACGCTCGTTTTGCGAGCTGCTGAGCACCTTTCTTATCTAGGTAGCCCATGGGGCGTTGTTGTACATGTACTTGATATGTGCAATCACTATTGCGCTGTTTGTGCAGATCCACCTCTGACACATGGGACTATTAATATTCTATGCTCTCTCTCTCTTAGCAGTGTATAGTACACCAAGCATATTTTCTTCTACTGCATACCAAGCCATGTTCCATACCCTTCACTAGCACTGACTGACCACTACAGTTGAACATCGATTATCCGCACATCGACTATCCGACCATTCGATTATCCGTAACAGTTTTTTGGGTGCATGTGCCGTAGAGTACGCACTGTGCATGTAGTGAGCCATTCAAAAAATACGAAAATTTTGAAAAGTAGCACTCTATTCTATTTACAATGTACATGTACATGTATTTACAGTGTGTTTTCTTATCCGGAACATTTGCCTTATCTGAACACCGCCTGACAGTTGTCTGCCCAGAGGTGGTCGGATAATCGATGTTCAACTGTACTACAATGCCATGCACAGTCATGGCTGTGTTGCTATCACGTGCCAAGAAAACTCTAGTACACCATTCAGCATAGAGCAGTGCTGAGTCATGGACGGTCCTTTAGGGTTTTTTTCTCGCACAGCGATTTCTGGTGGAGAAGTAATAGGCATGTGATTTCGAAAAAAACACTGCCTGTGTGTAAGGTAGAAGTCTTCTCCTATGTTACGACAGTGGTTCACAGCCACATCTACAGCCACATTCCCAGAATCTCAGGGCAAAGTCACCTATGCACATGCAACGTCCGCTCAAACTCCTGCTAAGTTCGGGAAAGTCTCCAATAGCCTCCTACTGGCAGACATCACGGTTGACGAGAGAAAGAAAGGAGGTACAGAAAGAAAGAAAGTGGTACATTTTTACCTGCGACGAGCGCATGACTTGGCAGCCTGGCGGCACAAAGACGATGCCATTACTGTAGACAGATGGAGCACACAGTTCGCAGAAGTCGAAACTTTCTGACTATGTAGCACTACAAGAAAGTCGTTGCGAAACTCCAAATCAACTCACTCCGCAATGCCAATGATCTCAAAAACTGAAAGCCTGTCGGGGTGTTGAAAGGGTTTGTTTGTGAAAGTAGTTTCGTTCACGAACACAGGCGAATGTATCAAACTGTGACTTCTCGATCTCATGAGTGGATGGGATGTACACAAAAAAACAAGTCCCTCGAAAGATTTCGTCATCGGATCGTGAAGGAGGTCGGAGGTCAGTCACGTGCCTTAGATCGGCATGGCAAATATGGCGAGTAAGAGTGTCACTATGGCAACTTCCAGGTGCAGAGTAGGGAAAGTCCCGACGTATCTTTGTAACTCACTTGTGTCGTGAGTGCATGAATCGCAGGGCCCGGGCCAAGGCAAGGTAAGGAACTGTTTGACCGAGTCAGGGATCGGGAGTCGTAAAATATTTTACGACTCCCTGGTTTTAGTCCTGCCATATGCCATCACCAGTACAGCCTGATCACTGCATGCCATACATGTGCGAAAGGAACAGTCGACTAGTCTATAATTATAAACTCGTTGATCTACAAAAAAACTCAGCTCAGCTCAGCAGCACCCGTGCTGTACATACTACATGACTGTATACCATGGTATACTAGTGTAGCCTAAGTGTAGCCATGCCATCACTGCGTCAGCGATCAGCGCAAATCTCGAACCACTTCACGTCTTCAGTCCCAGACCGGCAAAGTCAAAAAAGAGAGTTGCCTGAAACGGCTCGTGCTTTGTAAGACCAGAACTGCAGAAGTCGAACCTGAGCTCGTGGGTTATTCGCTGGTGCTAAATCACACCTGATTGAGTGGCTGTTCATCTGTGCTCCTTTGAGCTTGACTTGAAGTGGTGAGAAAAGTTGGCTGTTGGAGCAGTGGTCAAGGATCAAGCTTCCCATTTCCTATCGACCCGTTTCCTCATCGTTTGACCATAGCTGCTGCTGCTAGCTGCGTGGCTTACAAAACGTCAACATTCGTCTGATCTTGCTGTTGTGAGTCTTCCAGTTCGCGTAGTACGTTCTAGTATAATCACACCAGAGACTGGGACTCAGTGGCCAAGGTCTTGATTACCGGTAACTCAGTCACTGAGGCCACTAGGTCTGCTCTCTAATATACAGTTATATTATAACAGAGTGTATCGGCGGTTATCACACTACGAGAAGTGATCCCGAAATATATATCACATGATCTACCCTGAGTGAGTGCAACACAGGCAAGGTAATTGAAGCCATCTGTGACTGCACGGGTGGTGACGACCCAAACGTCTCGGCGGATTCCTCAGTGGACGTTGCATCCTGACCGTGGAGTTCTGCTAACCTGAGTCCATAGCGAGGCGAGAGGCCGTGGTCCACCACGCGGCGCCCCGCAAGAACGTCACGGTAAGCCCCTCCAGGACTGAAATCACGGCTGTGCGCTCAGCACTGCCCGCCCGGAGCCCGTGGGCTACAATGGACAGAAATACCGTTGGATTTCGGAACCCTGAACCAGTATTCCACGACTGGCCGAGTGACTTCGTCCGTGCGAACTTCATACAATTGGTCCAGCGGTGCGATCCCAAGGGACTGCTGGACTGCTTCTTCCAGCGGCATCTGTTAACTGAGGAAGAAACGGAGTGTTTGCGAAAACAGTTCGCTCACCCAAACACTTCCACTCGAGACATAAACCGTGAATTGCTATTGACCGTCTTTCCCAAGAAGGGAGCGGGGGCATTTGATAACTTCGCCTACTGCCTATACTTTGGAAATGAGAACAGCTGCCGAGACCTCTTTACAAGCTTGGACTCTGCCCGCAGCGCAGACCAAGGCCGCATGGCGATGCTGTTACAACGGTTGCGAGAAGTTGATGATGCAGCCATGCCCCAAGAGGAGACCGAAGCCCCTCTTCCGGCAACATCAAGACCAGTTGCGTGCTCAGATGGACCAGACAACGGACCACACACACCACTAACAAACAGTTAGTAGTATAGATATCAAAATATGTAACGTAATTGTTACTTTGTAAGTTTGTAGTAGGACGCTTTACATATCACTAGTACCCATCCTATTGTCGGCTTTATCTAGGACTGGCATCCCCGCCATTTTTCTTACATGAGCTTGAAAAAGAGATTACTGGAAGTTTTTTTTTACTTCAAGTGCACTGATATGGGCAATTGTGTGTGCGAATAAGCGCTCACATGTACATTACATCTACTAGTACAGTAGGTATCGGTTATAGCGTGGGTGTTTGAAAATGAAACACGACTTTCTATTCTTATTTCCGATTTTTCTTACAAGCGAAAAAAATAATGTGTGACATGTCATATGCATGTGCGCAGAGGTAGGAAGACCATCGTACATGCAATGTATCGCTGCTGTGCATGCGGGTGTTCATAGTTCTATAGTATAAGCTCACCATGGGGCTATGCAGCATGAGATACATGACAACAATTGTTGAACCTGCAGCACTACGATGCAATGCCGGTCAGAACAGAACTGCATTGGACAGATGCTATTGCTACAGGTGATGCACTTTGTACTAATCTGGCATGTTTTGCTACACAAAGTCCGTTCCTAGGACCGATATATTTTACTATGCGATAACATTGCTTGTGAAGAATAAATGTTCACTTGAAACCCATGTTATGATTTTGACAATATGAGAGTTCATTCTTGTAGGCAGTATAATCTTTACACGGCCACACTATAACCAATAGTATACACACTGTACCTAATATGACCGGACCTTTTGCTTTTCGAATGCCCTCTGAGTGTTGTCCTGCTGGCCCTGGCAGTTCCATGCAGAAGAAATGTGCTCAGGAGGCAAGCGTTTCTTACCAAGTGGCTCTTTAACATAATGATGACTATAAATCAGCATCAGTTACTCAGCCGTGATGGCTTGAGCCCGGGTTTCCGGTGTCAGTGTCAGTGATTCTGCTGTGTACCTATGATTTTAAATTATGCCCAGTGGAAAAAGAAATCCTGGCGCAGGTTGCATCTGATGCCATTCTTAATTAAAAGGTGTGCTTTTGCAGTACAATCATGTACAGTGCTGGCCAAAGAAATCCAACCTCATGAACAAAATTGTGCCGGGCGCTACACACGCCTACTGGTCTATGCCCTCTAAACTTGGCACTACTTTATTCATGAGGTTGGATGTCTCTGGCCAGCGCTGTACATGTCATATACATGCCATTGTACTCATCCCAGGCTGTGGTTGTTTGTAGTGTTGGATAATGCACTCAGTCGCCCACAAGCTCTGCACCGTACATCTGATCAGGGTTGGAAGAGAGTTGGCTACCTAAGTCCTTGTGAACATTTGTTCTATAGTGTGTAGGCCTACATGTACTCAGTGACAGTACTCACACTGGAACTGAGCATAAAAAACAATATACTCAAAATGGATGATCTGCGGCAGTGCGAGTTGAAGCGGAGGAAACTAGTGGAAGTTAGTTCATTGATAATTGTGTACTTCGAAGTACTTGTATGCAGGGAGTAGTACAATATTGTATTTCGATTTTGACAGCATGTTACAAGGCGAGGACGCGTAGTGTTCCTGACTACAACCATAAACCGGTTGGCAGAGTCCCGGTCTTGCGACCATTTGAACCGTATTGGGAAAACCCAGGCTCGGACCCTCATGGTTGTAGTCAGGAGCACTACGCGTCCTCGCCTTGTAACATGCTGTCAAAATCGAAAAACATGTTAACTACCAAGCAAGGCTTCTGTATATACCATACAATATTGTACTACTCCCTGCTTGTATGTACGTGTGTGTGTGTGTGTGTGGTGTGTGTGTGCGCGCGTGTCTGTGTCCCATATGGTGCAGTGGTATGTGCAGCGATTTCCGATCGATAGGTTGCGGGTTCGATTCCTGTCCATTATGGTCACACACGTCTTTCTTCTCTTTCTCAGACTCCTCCTGACTTTTCTTTCATTCTCCTGGGTGGTTACCAGGTTACAAACAGCCAGTGCATGCCGGAGTATGTGGTGTGATGTGTGTGCGTGAAAAAAAAATGAAAAAGACCAAAAAGTAGGGATTCACTGGCCGAAAAAGCCACTTCATAGCTGGCTTCATAGCAGGCTGAATAGTGGCGGTCAATTCTTCAGCCTTGCAAGCTGTTGAATGGTGCAATCCCAGCACAAGCTGCTATGGCTTCTGCTATAGCATCGCTATCATCGCCTCCGGCGATGGGCGTCAAATGGTCAAATGGTGTGTGTGTGTGGGGGGGGGGGGGGTTCGATACTCACTGGCCGGAATAGCCCCTTCGATGGGGTGTGTGGTTCAGACCAGGCTAAAATTAGTGGCCGTCAATTCATCAGTCTTGCAAGCTATTGAATGGTCACATAATAAAATTATTTGATAATGCCAGCACAAGTTGCGATGTCTTCTGTCCCTGCGGGAACTTGCGGAAAAATTCTCGAAAACCTAGGCAGAAAACACGGAAAATGCGGCGAAAAGTGCGGAAAATGTGGAACTTGCAAGGAATTCGCGGAATTATTTGCAGAAAATTGCGGATTTGGGCCAAATCACGAAAATTGTTGCTTCATAAGAATCGTTATTTGCGCAGTGTATATACTTGGGAGTAGTGCGAGTCGTACTGTGCAAATACATGTAACCAAGAGTACATAACCGTTATGTACTCTTGATGGATAGCCCTTTCCCAAAGATGCCATAATTTTTCGCAACCGTGCCAAAACAAGTGCAAGTTGCAGAAATCCCATCCGTATTTTCAGAAAAGCTCAAAAGTTGCGATGTAAAAACCACCAAAAAGAGGAGAAATACCGGTGGTAGAAGTGCACCGACAGCAAACTCGTGCACCCTTTCCTGCTGTGAACCACAACTACTTGACACAGTGCCAGTGGCCTGTTGCATGTATCCTATAGCCTACATCATTCCAGTGCACGAAAAAGGGAATGCACGTTAACGTTACTACCGTTGATCAACTGTTTCTCTGAAACGAGTCTGAGTGAAGGCAGGCGAGAAATGAGCGAGTATGCATTTGTCCGACATGTAGTCTGTGACTTGATCTTTTGACCCCATGCCAGGGGCCAAGGTTGCGGAAAAGTTGCGAAATAGTTCGAGAAAATGAAGAAAGTCGCCCAAGTTGCGATTTCTTCCCAAACAACGAAAAGTTGCGAAAAAAAGTGGCGAGCATCTTTGGGAAAGGGCTAATCATGGAAAACAATGCGTCAAAAATGCATACCGTATTATCTCTAATATAAGCACGGTCCTTTATTTTTTCAATGTACCTCGGCCCCGTGCTATTAATGGAGACGTTCCTTTATTGGAGACTGTTCATTATTATTTCAACCTCATTTCAGAGGCATGTTGCCATGCCAAATTCATGTCAAACACACACATTTCAGGGTTTTTTCGCCGGTACAGATAATGAATTTACACAGTGTGCTTATAACGGAGACTGAGCACTTTATTTTTGAATGCCGCCCCAAGGTGTTCTATTATTGGAGACGTGCTATTATTGGAGACTGTGCTTATATCAGAGATAATACGGTAAAATGTGAGATATAAATATCTCACTTTTTTTGCGCGTGTTTTTGTTGTTTTGTGCGTTAAAACAGTGCAGAAAACGACAAAAAAACGCAGGAAATCATGGATTTCCCAGAAAATCACGAAATTTGTTGCATCCGTGGAATCGCGATTTCCTGGAGGGACAGTGTCTTACATAGCTGATTCGTTATCATCGCTTCAGTGAATGGTGTATACAGTGTCACTGTGCATCGCCTATAGTGACTATGTGCAACGATATATTGGCTAAATTTTTATCTGCATTCCTGAAAAATTGGCCTTACCCGAAAATTCAGATAATTTTATTATTTTTTCAGTGGTTGGTGCAACCAAAACAGACTGTTTGGAGAGTGGTGTGGGGATGTATGGTTATAGTAGACAGCTACAGTTGAGTATGCGCATAATGGAGAAGTTGATTTCAGAACAGAATATCAAAAGCAAAATGTGTTTTTTTTTCAGTGAAAATGTCATTGAAGAAGGTAGCTACTCCAAACGTTGGAGCTTGCGCTTCCTACCGACTGACTGACACTTGACTGACTCATATCTGCCATCTGGAGCACACCCAAAAGAACGCACCACTCCCTGCTCAACACACAGTGTTTTGGGGAATTTACCCCTCATCAGTTGAGCTTGAGTAGGCTGAGGAAGATTTGTGCCTGAAGAGCACCTCTTATATCCTCTCCAGGCACAAACATCACCAGGAATACAAACTTACAGAGACGCTCCCCTTCCAGTGCGACAAACACCTCGGGAGCACCAGGCTGCGGCATGAGTCAGTGTCGCACATGGAGTTGTGAATTTTGAAATTTGAAGTTTTCCCAATCCTTTCAAACTCTTATGTATAATTATAATAAATGTAGAGCCGAAGGATTTATTCCAGTATAAAAACCGAGGTCCCCGAGGTTTTTATAACTGGTTGTACTCAATCTGCGGACAGCATGCTGTTTCGGTCTTTGTGAACTCACCAGCGCAGCACAGAGAAATGAGGCCGAACCTGATAGATTTAAACTGATATGTACTTGCAATAAATCCTAAGGCTACTACATTTATTATACATACATGTATGTTGACCTCACGTAAAATTTGGCGTGTTTTACGTGAGTTGACTGCCCTGCACGCAAGTTCGTGACGTGGTTTTTTGGAAGTTTCGGTTGATCATCCCGATTGAATTTGTGTGAGTTTCCGTAGTTTTACCTTGTTCAGGACGATTTGATATTTGTGTCAACTAAATCCGAATCCTGCCACGCAAAATTTCACGTCATGTCGCTCGTACGATCGTGTAACTTGACCTTTAAAATTCACACGTAATGTGAGATTTTCATTAACCTCTCTAAATAGACTAATACCCGTATTTTACTACTCCCTGGTTCTAACTTCTAGTCAAACAATTTGTTGATCTAGCAAGTAAAGAGTATGGGGGTTATGTACTCTTGCTATTACATGTAGTGACTATTACCCCTGTTTGCAACAAACCTTCCTCTCCTCGTGAAAAGCACTCACCCACTTGTTCTACACAATAGCAACCAGTACATACAAGTACTAGACAGTGTACCTTACATTCAAGATTCAGACTCAGTCTGATAACTTTTCATCTAACATTCCTCCATGGCACTTTCATGAACGGAATATTTACAAACAAAACTTAAAAGTTACTACTAGTAAGTAGTAGCAAGAGTATATTCTTGCTTGGACTGTAGTTGAATAGTTCGCACGAGAGAGGAATGGTTAGTGATTACTAGTATCACACTGCACTGACTTTTCCGAACCCGTTCCAAGCACATGACGGTAGAGAAGGAGATCACCGTGCAAGAGACCAGCACAAACAGGATCTGATATTCAGTCATCGCCCACCAGCACTGCCTGGATAAAGTCTAGATACTCCGTTTGTTTCTAGCAAGGATTCACGTGGCTCAAAAATAATGGCAAGTGAAGCTAGTCGAGCTGTACACGCGAGTTCGGGATCATGATACAGCATGGAACAAATCAAAGAAGGGTGGGCGTACTGGGCGACGAAAGGCATGGCAGTAACACAAAAAAGCGTCATGGAAGCCAAAGAGTACAAACAATAAAAGCAACGAACTCTTCTCATTCATTCATTCCGCTGAGAAGAGGGCGCAAATCGCGACGCCATTTTTTTCATTTTGAGCGTGCTCGCGCGCATGCTCGCCTTGAGCTGTTGAACTGAACTTGGTCTTTCCTTTTTTACAAGAACTTTCTTCTAACCTGCAGTGAATTTTGTGATGTCCTCTCAGTTTGATAGGGAACCTAGGTAAGCCAACATCCGGCTGACTTACAAGTCCTGTTTAGAGTCTTAGAATGTTGATGGAAGCCTCTGCCAAAGTTATAGTCCGTTCCTGCAGAAATACTGAGCTATGTTCTCGTTGTGTTTTCATTGTGTTTGGAATGGTCTGGTCGTATCAACAGGCAAGGCCCGAACGGATGGGGCCCTGACAGTGAGGGTCAGAATGGTGACCAGGATCGTGATGCCGATCGTGGTGCGTCCGCACCAGAGGGCAGCAATAATGGTGACCAGCAAGGTCCTCCTGGAATGCTGCCTGATGGAACGATTGAGGTGCGTATCCTTGCACTGTCTGCTTGGCGTTAGCTTAGAAGCCTTCCATATGTGCAGGGGCTGAATGTCTTTTCACATTGATAACTGTTGTTTTCATGTGGCATACGTGTACTGTTGTAATGTGGACTTTCAGATCAAAATTGTCTCACCTATGTCTGCATGATGATGATGATTGTTCTCTCTATTTGCTGAGACTCGTTTGACTGCCTTCCTTGGAATTCTCAATGTTTGTAATCATGGTGGCTGGGTGTAGCGATATGTTTTCATTTCTGTGTGCCCAGTTGTCATACACTCATGATTCACTCTGTCAGTGATTGGTTCGAGTCTTTCTTAAGGGATATGGACCATGATTTTGGTAATGGCAGGTCTCTTGACCACACTTTTTCACTCAAAACATTCTACTCTTGAATATTCTTTGTATTTTGCAGTCTAACTGGAGTGAAGTGATTTCGAACTTCGATGACATGACCCTCAAGGAGGATCTGCTCAGAGGAATTTACGGATACGGGTAAGGACTTAGCTCAAGCAAGTAATCAGTACGAATGGCTGATTCCTTTCGTGGTGGTTGTTCATTTCTGAATCATCTATTCAAAATAATGATGTCATCGGTGTAAATAGATGTTTTCACTCTGTGTTGAGTTTATTTTTTGTATTTTTTACGTCATTTGGTGTTGCGTGTTCTTTGAATTTTCCTTCGTTTTGTGTCGTGTGGCTGCTTAGTTTTGAGAAGCCTTCTGCCATCCAGCAGCGCGCAATTGTACCATGCGTTCGTGGTGAGTTCTGTACTCGTGCCTCGTTTTGTTAAAAAAAAGAGTAAAAGTTTCCCAGTTCGCGTTACAACCGGCTATGTGTTCGAGACACAACCAGCCTCGTTTTGTGGTCTGTCTATTTTGGATCGTTAGAGGAAGGGGTTGATGAATTGCTGCTCGTTGTTCGAGCCTTATGAATCTTGGCTCGGAGTACTAGTAACTACTATTGGCCCTGCACAATCTTAAATTAACTGGAGTTCTTGTTGACTGCAGAATGAAGTTCGGGTGTTTCACATCAGCGGTGTTGTGGCTTGTCTGTGTTTGTAGGCCTGGACGTCATTGCTCAGGCCCAGTCTGGTACTGGTAAGACTGCGACATTCGCTATTGCTATCCTCCAACAGATTGACCTTTCACTACGTGAGTGTCAGGCTCTGGTTCTTGCACCAACCCGCGAGTTGGCTCAACAGGTAAATGTTATGGCGTTTATTTCAAGAATTCATTTGGTTGGCTTCTAGCATGATATTCCAGATATACTGTAATTTCAGAAATTTTCGGTGTACTTTTATTTTCGGTACTTTCGGTGCGTCTGTTCCATACCTAAAATTTCAATACACCGAACAAACCCTAACACACATAAACCAATAGGGAACTGCTTCTCTGTACCGAAAATTTCTGTTCACCTAACCTAGCCTGTTGCCCTCATACCGAAAATTTCTGAAATCAGAGTACTGCCAATTGCTATTTTTTCTCAAAAGAGGCTAGTATACTCCAGTGAATGTGTCATACAGCTGGAAGCGCGACTTGTTAAATGCAGAGAAATGTCTGCAGGGTGTTTTTTTGTGTCATCCATATCTGTTACTTGCCTTGTTATTACTGTAGTGTATGTCAGCGCCTTTAAAGCCATTGCCTTATATTCGAAACACCACTGCTTTCCTAGCTATTTTAGATGCAAAATTACTCGCCCACTACGCCATGCCATGAAAGTCAAAGTCCGCACAGAAATTTCAATCTAAATCCACTTGTTCACCCTTCCTGCTGGGCTGTAAGTTTGTTGGTATAGTACTGTACAAGCAGAAATATTCGTCTGGAATTTAATGTCGTCTTTTTCGTCCAAGGGCCTTTGGACTGAATTAAATGCCGGACTAATGTCGATACGCTCTTGTGGTCCATGGGCGTGCGATATATGCCGTATGTCAGCGCCTTTTAGCCGTATCCTTATATTCGAAACACCGCTGCTTTCCAAGCTATTTTAGATGCAAAATGACTCACCCACTACGGCACACAGAATCTTCAATCTAAATCCACTTTTTCACCCTTCCTGCTGGGCTGTAAGTTCGTTCGTATAGTACTTATTCCTTCCTTCATTTTTACGAAACATACATCAAATGTCATTTCATTTATGAAGCCCATGGCTTTATAATCGAACGCTTTAGCAGGACTGAGTCACCTATCTCTCCGTCATGGCTTTAAAGGTGCGGACATACTTTGTATATATCGCAGCATTAAGTATATATATGAGCCAGCACACGCGGAAATCACCCTTTATAGGGACATATTTTCAGAAACTGAGGTGACAGTGGATAAGGGCAGATGGGTTTATGCAGAATTCAATGCAAAAAAACGATTGAAAAAATCCTGAGTAAAACTTGAGTTACGGGTCTTAGAAGATAGAATATTTTCCCTGATATATCGCACATCACACGAAAACAGAGAATGTTTGGAAGTGCGTTTTCTCAGTTTGAAGTGCGTGTCACTAAGGTCGATTTTCGCGTGCCCTGGCTCATATATATATGGCAATTTATACAGCCGACTTCTGTCATGTGCGTACATGGTTCACATGTTATGTAATGTCTGTAAGTTTTGAAGTAGTATTGCAGTACTTAGTGCCTATTGGCAACCCATGTACTTATGTGTTGGCTTGCAGATCCAGAAGGTCATCAACTCCCTTGGTGATTACATGCAAGTTGCCACTCATGCTTGCATTGGAGGAACAAATGTCCGTGATGGTATGCGATCCCTTGAAACTGGAGTCCACATTGTCGTAGGAACTCCAGGACGTGTCTATGACATGATTCAGCGTCGCGCTCTGAGTAAGTTTGTTCCCCTTTTTGGCTTCATCCCTTACCCAATTTTGTGTTAATATAGTGTGCCGCCTTCACCCGCACTGGTGAAGTCTAGTCCTGTGTCATGTTATCAATATAAGAGAGTAGGGTTTAGTGTTAGGCATCTCTTGTCACTTATCTGATCTGTTGTTGGTTGATTTTTTTACCTCTTGCATGATTCTGAGCAGATGTGAACAGCATCAAGCAGTTCGTTCTTGACGAAGCCGATGAGATGTTGTCGCGTGGTTTCAAGGACCAGATCTATGACGTTTTCCGTCTCCTTCCCACAGCTCACCTGCAGGTAAGTTCAAACTTGGTGTATATTGTACGTCCAGAAATTCTTGTTAACCCTTTTATCGCTATGGAAATATGCCCTGATCAGGGCACTGTTTTGCTGATCAATGTACGTCCTTCCAATTGGGGAAGGTTATTGTTGTAAGGTTGCTGCAGATTTGCTAGCTTCTGTCCTGATTACTATTTTTACTATTTTTGGCTGTTCAAAATCTTGCCTGCAGGTAATCCTCCTCTCTGCCACCATGCCCACTGATGTCCTTGATGTCACTCAGCGTTTCATGCGTGACCCGGTGCGCATTCTGGTCAAGCAGGAGGAGCTAACCTTGGATGGTATCAAGCAATTCTATGTGAATGTTGAGCGTGAGGTAAGCACGTCTATTGACATCTATATTTGTGTTCTCTCCTTCACTCTTTTAAGTACATAAACATTATAGGCAAACACGAAATAATATTGTCTTTGGTTTCATTTTTTGCTCAGATTTGCTTCTTGCTTACCGTAAAACTATCATCTTCTCTGTTTGTGTTTTTTTTAGGATTGGAAGCTTGAGACTCTTTGCGACTTGTACGAGACCCTCACCATCACCCAGGCTGTCATCTTCTGCAATACCCGCAGAAAGGTCGACTGGCTCACACAGAAGATGCACTCGCGCGACTTTACTGTCTCGTCCATGGTGAGGATCTGCTAGGATAGTACTTGAATACTTTGGAAGGTTCCTTTGGAAGGTTCCAGTCAGGTTCATGATTTGTTCCTTGTGTGTATTCCTGCCCACAGTTTCTAATGTTATCATATTGATTTGCTTTTTTGACAGCACGGAGACATGCAGCAGCAGGAGCGTGATGTCATCATGAGAGAGTTCCGCTCCGGTTCATCTCGTGTCCTGATCACCACTGATCTTCTGGTACGTACTTTTGTTGTCAACTTGTAGTCTTTGCAACTCCCTCTCCCTTATGAATATTTCATGTATTGGTGCTCCTCCCCTAATCTTTTGTACGCGAAGTGTTTTGGTCGTAGTAATGGCTGCGTCCCACTACCCTTCGTAGTTTCACAGGAAGCAATGCTCGACGGTCGCTGATAGGATGACGACTACTCTTAGTGGCGGAGCATCGCTGGCCATAAGCAAGGGTGCCTGGTTTGAGTCAATTTTTCTTTAGGCATTCTATGTTCAACTCCATAGTCTTCACCCTCAGAAATTCATATATTTTCTGAAAAATCCTGCTTCTTCTCTCCTCTACTGCAGGCCCGTGGTATTGATGTCCAGCAAGTGTCTCTGGTCATCAACTATGATCTCCCCACCAATCGCGAGAACTACATCCACAGGTACGGTCCACCCCTCGGGTTTGCAGTTGATTGGTGTCTATGCAGCCATCTCACACAAACGCCAAACCATGGTTTATGTGATTAACCGGAACGTTTTCTCGAGACGGTCGTCGGTGATCATCGTCACTTGTAGGATAACTGATATAAATGAGAATGTATAGTCGTTTGCAGAAAAGAATAAGTGACACTAACGGTGATACAAACATTGACGTGCAGCTGTGAATTCATCGTTTATTCCAAAACGATAACCGCTGATATCGTTTTGTTAGTCCTAACAAACTCGCTTTGTTCGTGATGACGATCGTATTGCGGTTTAACATTTGACTCATCATGTTTTCGTCGAAGTCGCAGCACTGAACTTGCACAAGCGACTCGCGCTGTACACTGCGCCCATCTGAAAATCCACCAAGTCATTCACATAACCCCTATAGCTTCAATTATATTCTTGTCTCCTCGTCTCCAACCGAGATCTTTTTGTATTGCTGTGTTCATTTACTTCCAATGTAGAATCGGTCGTGGTGGTCGTTTCGGACGTAAGGGTGTTGCCATCAACTTTGTGACCACTGAGGATGTGCGCACTCTGCGTGATATTGAGACCTTCTATGGAACCAGCGTTGATGAGATGCCTCTCAATGTCGCAGACTTGATCTAAATGGTTCCTTCTGGGCTACACAGCGGCACCACCCACGCGCACCATCCATTCCCAGCATCATCATGCTTGTACAGTCGAGTCTATGTGACTCACTCTTGTTAACGGTATTAGTTGCATACTGTGGCTGTGTAACATATCTCATTCATGATATTGAGTGCGTTATTCCGAGAATGCATCCGTCTTCCTTCTTCCATCTAAACCTCGCCTTCATCTAGACGTTCCAGTTCTTCTAACATTTTTTTCTTTTTTTACATGGTGTTAATTTTTCACCTACTGCCTTCAATTTCTTAGCACCATGGAACATTGGTGTGGGAATGTGAAGTGAAAGTGCCTTCATCTGCGCTACTATGATTGTGCCCATCGAGCGCATCAAAGACTTTGTAAATAAGATCAACTACGCTGAAATACTTGGTTTGTGTTGGTTTTGCGGATCAAAACCGGACAGGTTGTTGTTGCTGTGTGTTTGTGTGCATCACCCTAATCCTCACCATCATTTCTGTGTACGTACGTGTGACTCTGTCCTCGGTTTTGTTCCATCCTTTGTACTTCATCCACATCTTGTACGGTTCTCTGCTTTTTCTTTTGCTGTTTTGATGATGACGCGTGCTGGGTATCAGTGCCGTGCCCTGGAACTTTCAGCAAATTGTGGCCATGTGATGGCACTTTTTGTTCAACTCAGGTGTACGCAACATTCATGGATGGTTTGCACCATGCCATTGCATTACTGCTTCAGGTTGTGCCAAAACTTATCTGTGCTAACGTGTTCCAGTGTATGTGTGGCCCTAGTATGTGGTATGCCATTGTGACTAAGCCGTGTCTTGAATGATGGAGGTGACTTTGCTGGTTACAAGACTCAATGTACCCTACATGAATACTACTACTGTAATACTAATTTCACAAATTTTCGGTACTTTCAGTGCATCTGTTTCATACCTAAAATTTCGATACACCGAACAAACACCAACACACGCACAATCCTATAGGGAACTGCTTCTCTGTACCTAGAATTTCTGTTCGCCTAACCTTTTGCCCTCGTTACCGAAAGTTTCTGTCAATTACTAGTGTGATTGATCTACCATTAACTTACAGCGATACTACCGGTAATCATTTTTTGTCAGACCAAAGAGATTTTTCATTTCATGCATGTGCGTCAGATTGCATGCACAATTCTCTTCTTCTCTTTTACGTCGAGAGCATGCATGTTCTAGTGACTTAGTGTAAGCGCTAAGGTCTATGGTGCACTCAATCATTGCCTCATTTCGTCATCTCCCAGTGCAGTGCAGTGGCATGTCAAGTGAAAAGTAGAAAATGTCTACAGTATTGGTCACCACAACTTTCGTGATTGCGGCAGTTATGCCCGCGACAGAAAACAATGGAGTAACATCTGCTCAACCATGTAGTCTCAGAAAACCAACACCGCCGGCCGTGGCGTTCTTAGCTTTTGAGGCCCGACATTCTCAGGCTCCACGTTCTTCAGCTCGTGACTCCACTGTACGCCAGTATATTTTATGATAATTTTTTAATTATTTTAAATCACAGACACGACAATACTCGACATGGTTACGTCAGGTGTGAAGGCCATTGCACACAAAACCATTAGGCGATGAACTTAGTAGAGCAGCAAAAGCATGGATTTCAGACAAAAGCTTGAGGCTTGAGAGACAGCTTTGGTGGTTCCGGTAACAAAAAAAGATCACCTTTCAAATACATTCCTTACAAGTACACCAGCACCAGCAACATAATGTAGCATCACATGAAACATAGAACGTACACTAGGTCATTTCATGAAGCAAAGCATTGGTCATGATTGTTGACATGTATATTAAAATAAAGCTTGTCTTTCATGAGCACTATACCGTCACCATAATTATCACACGATTATTCGTATCATAAATAGAGAATACAGAATGTGGTTGGAACACCATAGAGCAAACAGTTGATACGGTCTGGCAGGAGGCTGGTTCGTGATACAAGGCAACATCCACTCAGCTTCACCAGAAACTTCTTTGTTCTGGGCTGAAGTAGGTATATACTTGCATTTGTTTCACAAGATGACCCGAACAGTGTACCCAACACTCACAACACCGAAGCCACCACCACCACAAATATGAGCAGTTTTAGTGGTGCCCCAGCGATGTGGAGATCGTCAGCCGAGAACTCAAGAAGTCGGTATTGCACGCACACACTCACACCCTCCCCACTCACACACATGCACACACAACTGAGTACGCGCGCACACACACACACACATGCACGCACGCACGCACACAGTCTTGAACTAGAAGACTGACCTCATGAACTTCTGCTCTTGTCCTCTAAATTGTAATCTTGGGGTTTCTTCATAGCATTGTATGGATTATCTGCACGCCATGCCAGGACTTGCTCGCGGACTTTCTTCCTCAGATATTCACACTGGTTCTTAGGCTGAATCTTATCAAGATCAAGAAGATACTTCTCTTCAAACGGATGCTCTGCAACCGGCTCGTCATCAGGATCATGGTAGTCGGAGAAGTATGGATGAGCCAATGCGGCACCGACATTAATTCTAGATCCAGTATCGATCACAAAGATCTTTTCCAGAAGGTCAATAACTCGCTCGTCGGCATCCTCCAGGCCATGGATGTTGGACACCTTGGTGCGCTCATAGCGCGGCAAGCCCTCGAAAAAACGTTGGGCGGCCGGTAGAGCCAACTTGTCAATAAATTCCTGATCTGGTATACCGATAAGCTACAAATCGAAACAGCACGCAAGAGGAACAGGAGGATAAGCAGGAGGAATCATGACATCATGACAAGGGTGATGACAAAACAGTCTTACATACACAATGACCCATCCACTGTTTCTCCTTTCGCAGACCAGAGGAATGTCCGAGTGTCAAACCACAATGGATTGGAGACCAGTGAAATGTCAGAGGAATCCAGAGCACACATGCTATGTGCCACCAGGAGTACATGAAACTCAGAGTACTAGAGTGTGCAGCTTGTGACTTCAGGATTCTGCATGGGGGAATGGGTGTCTGTCAAGGCGTAATCAGTCCTGAGTTACATCATAGAGGTGGGAAGTGGTGGGAAGTGCGTGCAACTGAGCTCCAAGTGTGCAGGAGTGCGTGCAACTGAGCTCCAAGTGTGCAGGAGTGCGTGCAACTGAGCTCCAAGTGTGCAGGAGTGCGTGCAACTGAGCTCCAAGTGTGCAGGAGTGCGTGCAACAGAGCTCCAAGTGTGCAGGAACTGAGCTGCAAGTGTGCAGGAGGAGATCTGCTTGAATCCCACTTGTACGTGCTACATCACTAAACATGATGTAATCCAGGAAGTTTCGCGGTGACAGCAACCCATTCGAGCCGCACACGTGGGTTTCGTGTACTCTTGATACTACATCACAGTCAGGCCGGAGTCATGACAACGCTGACTTTCGTATGGATCCAGGTAGTTTTGTTCACAGTTGGGCGACACCCCCCCCCCCCCCCTGTACTGATAGGACAGGCTTCTCCCTCCACCCGGCCCTGGACCCAATGCTGGGCCCCTCTCTAATCTGGCACTTGTTTATCCGGTACCCTTGCAAACCAGCACACGTTCTGACGAAAAGGATTTTTCAGTTCATTTTCTATGCCTAAAGGGAACTCCACGAAAAAAAAGAAAATTTGATAGCCTGTAGAGTTTCGGGCGCTGAGTCGAATGGTCTTGGTCCGAAGCCTCTACGACGAAGCGTTCTTGAGATATTTCAATTTTAGCCCCGCCCTCATACCAATGTATGTGTGACGTCATTGTGGCATGGTGCGAAAATACTTGGATGACGAAAGTCACTTCAGAAAGTAGTTTGCCAAGTCGCCTGAGCCGCTGTGATGCCAAATTGTTGTGTTGTTGGTTGTGCCAGTATCACATCATCCTCCTGGGGTTAGTTTTCTCAGATTCCCAAAGGATGGAGACCTGGCAAAGCGCCGAGATGTTGCAATGCGTCGTGAAAATTTCAAGCCTATTTTCGCAGCACGAGCTATGTTTGCTCGCTGCATTTATGATCCAGAGGGACGTGAGAGCTGAGTTTTGACGAGTACGCCGTCCAGGAAAGCCCTCCTCAGTGTACCAGTGCCCTCCGAATCGTGAGCCTCCAGCAAAGCGAACTCAACATGCTGCAACTGAGAAAGCAGGGCGAGATACGTTCCATCAGGATCAGAAGAGTGCATCACCCCATCAACTCCGACTGCAGCTAGATGATGAACGATATTACCCCAGTAACTTTGCGCATACATGTACCAGTACTCAAACTGTGCACATCTGTCATCAACTGGGACGCAAACAGACAGACCCCCAGCAAGTACGAACGTTACAGAACTGTTTGCTTGCGATGTGCAGGCAGCATGCACGACGAACTGTCTCACCAATCCTGCCAAACTGAACCAGTGTAAGTTGGTTGCGTGGATATGTCTCTATTTATAACAGCTACCCTACTTTTAGGCATGGTTGCATGAATATCATATCACTCAGAGCAGTTGTTAGAAGTCTGGACAGCCTAGGAATAGTGCAAGTAAGGTGAAACAAAAGTTTATTACACTCCGAGTTCCACGCTTGCGGGATCACCAGGCCAAAAATTCTAATTTCGAACAAGGAATGGGTTCTTGTTGTATGCGAAAGAAAAGTAGGTGAAGACCTATTGTGCAAGGAATACAGTGGGAACTACACATACTATACACATGCACTCACACCTTCACCCACATGCATGCGTACGTGTGCACACACACAAACACAACAACACACACACATACGCACCCACATACTCAAACTCACTCGCACGCACGCTAGCCTAAGGATAGTACATATGCTGTAGTAGTGGTGTACTTAGTGAAATGACTATGTGTACATCTAATGACGCTGCCACTCCACGCCAGAAGACAACAAACATCTGCTGGACATTTTTGCTCCCTTCTCTTATGGGCAACACAGGGAATGAAACGAACAATGTAATTGAGAACAAGAGTCGTCCTGTACGGTGAAGTTGCCATTTTCTCATACAGCAGAATATTGTCTAAGCAAGTGTGTTTTCTCCACATTCTTTTTGCCATGCAGGTATATAACAGTGTCATGCCAAACTACATTCTCAAACGCATTCGTTTCTTAATTCTGGGGATGATTGGACACGCACATCTCGCAGCTCTTGACGACGTCAATGTCAACCGTCGCCACAGCACAACCAAAAAGACCGCGATAGGAAGGTATAACATCTAGTTCTCAAAGCATAAAGAAGACTGTGGCCAAATAGAAAATTATACGACAGAAAGAGCTACGAGTATGTTGACAAGCTCATGTGTGAGGTGGTAGCGGTTGCAAATGGCAACCTCGATGTTCCTGCCTTGGAGAAGCGCGTTTCCCTGCCAAATTCCAGGTGGAAGCCTCCTGAGAAGGCTGAGGTGGTGCAGGATTAGGATATCTTTGCCTGATGGTATTCACAACGCAGGCTGGAAGACGACAACGAACGTGCTTGCCCAATTTGCCGTGTACATAGTGTGTACTGCCTGTGTGCCGCATTGCGTAGAGATCTACACAAACACAGAATGTCATATGGAATGTGTATGATGAGTGCTTGTACATATACCACATTGCTGTACCGTAATAATTATTCCCGTAGCTATGCAGAAGACGTTACTTCAGTAACGTCTGGTGCTAGCCAGGGTCCACACAGCTTTAATTAGGTGTTTGTTTGTGTGTTTGTGTCACGCCTGGCGCTATCCCGTATCTGTCCCGTACCGTACCGTACCATCAAACACAGCTGGCCACATACAGCTGGCCGCACTATTCAAATAGGGCTTTCAAACGCAAGATCATAACGTGAAGCAACTTGGAAGAATGAGTATGAATGCGAAGTGTATGGGGAATGCATGTAGGGCGATAGTGCGGGTTCGAATCCCAGGTAATGCCTGAAAAAAAATCGGAAAATTGACAAATTTATAACATCCCTATTCTTTTTTTGCCGTCATCAAGGCGGTAGATGGTGTCGTATTACCCTCGACCGTACCTGTCCCGTACCGTACCTTACAATCAAAGACGGCTGGCCACAATGCATATTCAAATAGGGCTTTCAAATACAAGATCATAACGTGAAGCAACTTGGAAGAATTAGTCTGTATGCGAAGTGTATCGGGGGATGCATGCAGGGCGATAGTGCGGGTTCGAATCCCAGGTTATGTCTAAAAACAAAAAGTAGAAATTTATAAGAATTTATAACATCCCTATGCGTTTTTTGTCTAGGTCATCAAGGCAAAAAAGCATAGCGTAGGGACCCGAGCTTCCAAGCTCTCTCGTTTATATAGTCAAATACTCATTTACTCTACGAGGTGATTTGTAATAATTTTACATGAAAGTAAAAAAGGCTATCATTCCGTTGCCCTGGCGAGTTTTGAAGTGTGCATGGTCTCATTTTGTCACTCTGTATGTCCTCTATCCATATATGAACTTCTTGATCGCACAACACAAACATGAGAGACACAGCGTGGGGTTGCTTTGCATGCATTTTTTCACCCAGAAAAAGTGTGTACAAAATTTTACAAGTCAGTAAAATAGGGTCTAACATCAACAAATATGACCTAAATGTGTCAATAAGCTTGCAATGGGAAATCAAGATACATCTGAAGCAAGTCACATGCAGAGAAAGCAGATTGGTTTTGCAGGTTGCTCAACATATTGGTTTCTCACGGTACGTCGTCAACTCCGGTTCAAACGGTAGGTAATCTTTGACCGCCTACCGGCATTGTAGAGCATGAGCACGCAGACCTTATCTTGCTGCTCCATTCTTTCAACTTGCTATTCATCGTCATGTGTGAAACAACCACACTAATCAAACATACCAGCCATGATGCGTTCCAGCCGTCCCACGACAGTGTGCCCTCGTGCATCTGAACGACAGAGCACTTAACCAGCACCTACTGACAGTGTCGGAGCTTCCATACTCTCCAAGACAAGTGCAGTGACTCCTTCACCTGATTCATATACTTCTGTGTTGGAAGAAGACTGCAGACCACCCTCAATGGGTGCTCCGCCGTCAACACCCAACATACATTCATGCCACATCATTTCTGCATTTGCTATTTGCCGTCGTGAATCTCTACCAGCACGTCTAAGGTAGCAAGCTCAGTTTCATACGTAGATCTACTGACCAGCTAATTATTTAACCTGTACGCCATAAGCATCAGCAGCTTCGAACTTGGATTTGAATCACCTCAAGTTCATGACGGGTGAGTGAAATACACCTACTGTCAAAATTGCAGTTTCTGACCATCACCTTTTTGGCTAATCTCTTCTTCAGCCCTGCTACTCTTGACGGTGTGGCAGACTCAATACCGGCCTCGGGGACCAGCCTAGGGTTTCCACCTGCCGTAGAATATGCTCTCTGGCTCTTGGACGTCCTTCAAGTATCCATTGAGGGATATTTTACCTCATTGACCACAAATTCACGAATTTCGATCCATGATTGATAACTCACAAGGCCGTGGAAGAAAACAATTCCGCAAAACGCTGCTGATGCTTACAAACTACAATACAATGGCAACTCATTTGTCTGTCGAACTAACAAAAACAATTCATGGAAGAATGCAATCGCCCTCAACAATGCTATTTTACTCGATTTGTAAAATAATATGCCATGTAAATTTTTTACAAATCACCTCGTACATATGCGCTGTATTGCACCTACCGGTACCTACCTGCACTTTCAGTGCACGCGCCATACTAATTTAGTGCCCACTGGTACAAAGATGGAGGGTCTTGTAGAATTTCCCATAATTGCTGATTTCAAATTGAATTCCAATGATCTGGGGGATGAATACTGATTAGGACGTGTTCGATTACCTACTAGTACAGAGATGTCTTGGTCAGAAAGTACAGATGTCTTGCTCTCCTGCCAGAATTTGTGCATTGTTTTGGTGTACGCTTTCTTGACCCCACGCTTGTACGTTGCATGACATGGTATACTAGAGAACGAGTTTATTGACAAAGTCTATCGCTTGAAACGATAAAGTATGGGTTCGGGTGTTTATGAGCACCCATGGTGCTCATAAACTGTGTGCAGTGCTCTTTTCACCAACAGAACACTACCATACTTTGCAGATCTTGTACCAATCCAAGGGAAAATGACAAAGACAAATTTGTTTGAGTCATGCATGAAAACTTGTGATAACTACTAGCACTATAGTACAACGTTGTTCGTGCTATGCCTGACAACAATAAGTTACACACAAAACATTACGCGCATCGATCCTCACAAGACAAGTCAAGACATACTCGGAGCAAAGAGAAATTTGCTTGTGTCATGCATGAAACTTGTGATAACTACCAGTACAATGGGCGCTTTCGATTACACGTTTATACCATTCTGGAACTGGGTTTTTTAAATTCTGGAATGACCAGAATGAGCGGATTCCGGCCTTGTAAACGAACGACTGGAATTCACAACGAATTTTATTCATGTCATGTCACAAACAAAATCGATGAATCGTAAAAAGCGTTCACGTACACCCTCGCGCGCACGTGGGCCCAGCATCGCACACGCCGGCTAGGGAGGCTCTTCGAGCGCTTGAGTCATGACCAGACCGGTAACACACCGACTGTGCAATTCTGGCGCCAGAATTAGAGAAATTCCGCCCTCTCTTCAGAATTGACGGATTCGACGGAATTGGATAAAATCAATTCTAACGACAGAATTTGTCACTTTTTGTGTAATCGAACTGTGCATCAACAATAACTAATTCTAGAATTGACCCAAATGCGTGTAATCGAAAGCGCCCAATATCAATGTCTTTCTTGTGCGACGCCTACTGTAGTGCACCTGACAACAATAAATTTCCCCCCAAAATAAAGTGTATCATGCTGATACGCGATCCTCACAAGCCAAGTCAAGGCAAACAAATTGAGGCTTACCTGATGTCAGACTCTTCTGTCACTGGCATTGGCGGCTTCTGCATGTCGAGATAACCTCGAAGAGCAGTGGTGGGCACAGCCAAATGCAAGGATACGATCTCGTAATCTGCGAGGTCCGCTACGCAAGAAGCCCTGGGCAGTCTTCTCGACAGCGACGGCAACATCCTACCACCAAAATCATTCCCGCGGGCTGGGCATGGCTATACACTTTTGTCCACGCTCGCACCAGTCGGAGTCCTAAACGAATCGAGATTCTGGTGGCCAAGCTACTCGTCTTCTGTCGGACGCAGCTGCTGAAGCATCTTCTTCCTCAACATTTGTTACACGCAATGGCAGCTCCTCAGCAGAGTATCTGGGCTCCCAGCCCCAACCATACGCGGCGGTGGGCTGTTGGTCGTCTTCACTGGCCTCAGCAACGCTGCCTTCATTGCTGGGGACAGAGGATTGTTCGGAATCGCTCATCTTCCCTTGAAATACCAACTAAAATTAGTGCTTGGAGATTGGCGAAGAGAAACGATAATGCCACAATGACGCTGGCAGCCAGTGATGACTTAGCCAAATGGCTGCATGACGTCAGGGCGCGGCCCCCGTTTTTGCAATTTCAAAGTGAAATATCTCAAGAACGCTTCGTCGTAGAGGCTTCGGACCAAGACCATTCGACTCAGCGCCCGAAACTCTACAGGCTATCAAATTTTCATTTTTTCTTGGAGTTCCCCTTTAATCCGGCACTTGAATTCCAGCTCCGGCAGCGATTTTCTGCAACAAATCGCTCAAATTGTACATATTTTATTATTATAATCCAGCAGTTGTACATGCACCCTTGTTTATCCAGCAGAAAATGCCGTTGCAAAAGTTGCCGGGTTAGAGAGGGACGACTGCACCAGAAAAAGTCACACCAGCATGCAACAAGAGGGCCTACCCACAAATAGTGACAGTCTATACGTTGCTATGGTCAGAGTGGATCTGAATATTTTACCCTGAAGTCGTTTTTTTGTTGACTCCCGACGCCATCACTCTCAAGCCTTTTTGCAGCCCTGTTCCAACTTACCTGCAGGTTCTTTTTGAGTTGGTCGATGTGATCGTGGCCCGGAAAGAGCGGCTGGCGCGTTATCATCTCTGCTATTATGCACCCCACGCTCCACACATCGGATGTGTGGTTGTAGTGCGTCCAGTTTGCCAGGATCTCGGGTGCGCGGTACCAGCGAGTCGACACATAGCCGGTCATCGAGTCGGAGTCGGCAAGACGCGCCAGGCCAAAGTCAATGATCTTGGCGCTACAGTCTTCCGTTATAGCAATGTTTGCCGGCTTGAGGTCTCGGTGAATTATGCCGGCTGAGTGAATGTACTTCAGGCCTCTGAAAATCTGATAGGCAATAAACTGGACGTGCGAGTTTTCCAGCTCCAGGCTCCTGGTTTTTACAATCCGATTTAAGTCAGTGCCAGCCAATTGTGTGACGATGTACAGCTCACGGAAGTTGTCTTCCGATAAGTCCGGGCTGAATACATCCACCAGCGAGATAACGTTCTCATGTCGCATGTACGTTAGCAGACTCACCTCGCGACATGTACGCTTCGCGTCCATATTGGACTGGAACGGTCTAGACAATTTTTTGATGGCCACTTCCCTGTCCGTCAGGGAGTTCAGAGCTGAGCAGACCTGCCCAAACGCACCAGCTGTGGGAAGAACTGTCAAATTCTCGTAGATGCTCGGTGTCTGCCATTTCGTCCCACTTTGCTCAATGGAATTGAATTTCGGCTCCGGAGGGTGCCCTGCTTGCGCGGCGTTCTCAGGAGATGAACTGGCCATGCTGCTATCGCTGGATGCCGACATCATAGTAGACTGCTTTCCCAAGTCCACAACAAGGTCGGAGCTGATGAAGACAGTTGCTGAGAGACAACACGCTGTAAGAGATACGAAGATTCTTCTACCAAAAGAAATGTATCACACAGGCTTTATTCCGTACACATAGCTGCTGCTGTGGATGTGGACACTGCGTCACCAGCACAGCAGCGTGCCATGATCTTCTCGTGCCAAGTAGGCTGATAATTATTCAAAACGGTGATATCTGCGGGGGTAGCGTGGAAAAAGACTCATTCAACATAATTCAAGACTGTGACCATCGGCATTATCATCGGCTGCCAGTGGACACAGTAAAGTCACACATACAATGTACAATTATGTAGGTCACAAAATCGAAACTAAAAAAGTCGAACAAGGCCAGCGAGCTCGATCGTAGACGTAGAGCTCATCACTGACATCAGCAGTGTCTGTACAATATGCAATACAGTCAACTTCGCTTATAACGACACTCGGCGGGGCATCAGAAAAATGTCCTTATTCGCGAAGTGTCGTTATACCCGAAGTCTCATTATGTGTATGACAGTTGGATGGGACTTTGCTCTGGGCATGGAAAGTCTGTCGTTATTCGCGAATTGTCGTTATATCCGTAGTCGTTATTGGCGAAGTTGAGTGTATCTATCTACTGCCGTACTGGTGACTCGTGGTGAGTACTGCACTGCACTGCACTCGTACATGGCCCGCATGGCATGGGCATGGTACTCGTAGATCTACTCAGTAGATCTACTCTAGTGCTCTTGATAGCCACTCTACTCTCTACTGTCTACATGACATGCAGTCTTCTCCACTGTATAAAAAAAGTGTACACATGTAATACTAATAGTATAGCATTGGCAACTAACTAACGCGTATACGGGCACGTGTTACTTCGATCGTGAGGCCATGAGGAATCCAGATCATCAATGCGTGCCGAGTGCGTGCACAGGCCCAACTAAACCTGTTTAGCGTGCCAACTGGGCATGGGGCGGCAGGTGAGAAATTTGTCACCCTTCTCACACGACTGCTCTCTGCGTTTGCCCGGCTTTGGCAGTGCCTGCGCCTACGAGGGAATCGCGATCAAAATGGCTATGGTAGCCCCACAACTCCTGTTACAGCAACCGTTCAAGACGCTAGAGGGGAGAGAGCACGTGGAGTGCCTGACCAGACGCCTGCAGCTAGCTATGGAATGATGGTCAGTTTGACGCCCTGCTGACTGAATGCAGAAGCGGCAGCTTGCCAGACAGTCCACCATGGCACGAGCCCGTGATGCAGAACTTTGCCAGAAGAAGATCATGCCCGACGCCGCGACGGTTTGCCGCAGCTGTACACCATGGTACACGAAGGGAAGATTGGCTCTGCACTTGACATGCTATCCAAGGATGGCCGACACGGTGTACTGAAGCTCACAGACAGCGTAGGTAACGAGTCCGTGCGTAACATCCTGTCGGACAAGCACCCCGCTGCTGAACCTCTCGATCCGGATGCTATCATTGGCGGTGAACCACCGCCCCGACCACATCCCATTGCTCTCAAGACTCAACCGAGAAGTGATCAAAAGAGTTGCCCTCCAAACTCGGGGTGCCGCAGGCCCATCTGGCATGACAGCAGCAAACTGGCACATCATGTGTTGCTCCTTTCGATCTACCTCAGATGACCTCTGTGACGCCTTGGCATCCTGTGCCAGACGGCTGGCCACAGACTGAGAATACGTAGGCCCCGCAGCCCTGGATGCGTACACCATGTACACGGCATGCAGCCTTGCAGGCTCATACCACTGGACAAAAACCCAATCGGTATTGGCGAGGTGGTCCGTCGGATCATCGGCAAGGCCATACTACTAACTATCACCAGCCTAGCGGTAGAGCGTGCAGTTGGATGTGCACAGCTATGTGGGTGCATTGACTGTCTGTGGCATCGAAGGTGCAATCCACGCAATGCACAACCACTGCCACCGTGATGACACAGAGGCCATCCTTTTCGCAGACGCCAGCAACGCGTTCAACTTACTGGCTGAACCGGGCAGTGTGCTTGCAGAATGTTCAGCACACTTGTCCGGACCTTGCTCCTGCCATCATCAACACTTATCGCTTGCCCGCACAGCTGTTTGTTGGTGGTGAGGTCTTGCTTTCGCAAGAGGGCATCACCCAGGGCGATCCACTCGCTATGCCTATGTACGCCATTGGCACTGTTCCCCTCATAGAAACGGCATCGGCCAGCAACGCCACACAGTCCTGGTACGCGGACGACTCGTCAGCTGGTGGCAAACTCGCACAGGTGAAGAACTGGTGGGATGTACTGAAAGACAAGGGTCCCCAATATGGCTACTTTACCAACGCAGCTAAATCGGTACTGCTTGTCAAGCCCCAGTTTCTGGAGGAGGCAACCCAGCTCTTTCTCGACACTCATGTTGTCATCAGGACAGACGGGTTCCGGCATCTTGGTGCAGCAATTGGAAACCCTGTTTTCTGCTAAGAGTATGTAAGCAGGAAGGTGGAGGAATGGTGCCAGCAGCTCCGGGTCCTGACCGGATATGCAACATCCCAGCCCCAAGCAGCTTATGGCGCGTTCGTCTTCAGGCTGAAGCATCGCTGGAGTTTCCTAGCCCGGACTATGGATCTCCCTGCAGACGCTTACCAGCCACTGGAAGACGTCATTTGTCAGTTCCTCATCCCAGCTCTGACAGGCAGGAATCCACCAGGAAGTTCTGAGAGAGCTATCCTTGCTCTCCCCTGTCGGCTTGGCGGGCTGGGCCTCATTGACCCTACCCTGCTCTGCAATCAGTATGGCCAGTCTGTGCAGATCACCGAATGCCTTGTTTCAAGGATCCTGGAACAACACTGGTCCATCGACGGTGTAGCGGCAGCAACCAGAAGAGCTAAATCGGACGCAAGGATGGTGACTCGCCAGCTAGAAGCAAATAACGCAGCCAGCATCTACCAACAGATTGACGCAGACTCGAAACGCATCATTGACTTGGCATCGGAGAAGGGAGCCTCCAGTTGGCTAACGTGTCGGCCCTTAAAACGCCATGGCTTCCGTCTCCACAAGACAGCCTTCCGTGATGGGCTCTGCTTGCGTTTTGGCTGGATTCCGGAGCGTATGCCGAGTCATTGTTCCTGTGCAAGGTGTTCAACATCGAGCACACCCTATCTTGTCCTCTGGGTGGATTCCCATCCATGGGACACAATGAGGTCAGGGACATCACCGCCCACATGCTACGAGGAGTTGCCTATGATGTGGCGGTGGAACCTGATCTTCAGCCGCTAACGGGTGAGCACTTTGTACACCGCACTGCCATCACTGGTGATAGTGTAGGGTCCTAGCCCTAGCACAACTCTTAAAACGCACACAAATGGCGTAAATCGATAGAGTTGTATTATTACTGTAATACTAGAGAGGTTTTGCATTCCGAATTTCGGAATGATTTTCGACTGTGCTTTTCCGAAAAAAGCACGTGCCGAAAAACGGCATTTTCAGTGTTTTGCATTCCGAAAATCTGATTCGAATTCGTTTCCAAGGGTTGCCATGCAAAACAAAATGGAGAGCGTCGAAGGGGTTTAGCAGGATCAAATCCATGTGCGCAGGTCAAGCTGCAGTTTGAAGACAAGGACGGACTGATGGTGGACCAAGTGATCCAACACTGAGCTGAAGACGAGGTTGGCGAGCTACTGTCTTGTACTGTCAGTAGGCACCATGGCAAAGGAAGATAGAGTGTGATGGAGTGTGAGAAGATTAGTCAACATGGCGAGATCAGCGAGACCAGCAAAAACCAGGAAAAATCAAAACTACATACGTGGAAAAAGTTCAAATAATCGAGAGCAGCAGAAAGCAAAAAATAATACAAACATAAAAATACACTTTTTGTATTCAAATATGCACTCCCAAACAGGAAAGAGCCAAAAATCCATTTTCGGAAAACCATGCACTTTCGCCACCACACTTCCGAAAGTTCGAAAACTTTTTCGACTGCTGCCGCCACATTCCGAAAATAATTCCGAAATTCGGAATGCAAAACCTCTCTATTGACAAAGCAATGAAAGAGAGATAGAAAGGCAACTGCCTTCGATGAAACCAAACTATCTACTGGCCTAAAGCTCTAGGTTGAAAATGTCTTGGCCAGTAAGGAAAAGGGTGTACATGTGTAGTAATAGACACCCTTAGCAAACAACGGTAACGCTATTTTTTTATGGTACTCGTACCTTGATTAGGCCTTGACGGATAAAGCGGGATTCACAGAAGCTTTTTTGCGATGCGACACGCGATGCGACAGGCGCGAAACCGGGAAAACCCCAAATCGCAGCCATGTCGCACCCCACGCAACTGCCGCAACTGGGCCATCGCAGGCCATCGCAGAAGTTGAGCTTGGCTCAACTTTTGCGATGCGATGCGATGCGACAAGCGATTTGGCGTACGATTTTGACCTTTTCTACAGCAAAGTTGTACAAAGGTTCAAGAGTTGCCTATAAATTTGTACAAGTTGTATCAAACCGCGCGAATATCATGGTGACGTAGCCAAATCAGCAAGATGTTGTCGCATCACTGACTTCTTCTGTGAATGGTATTTCGCGAGTTCGCATCGCACGCGTCCGTCGCAGATCGCGTCGCATCGCGTGTCGCATCGCAAAAAAAGCTTCTGTGAATCCCGCTTTATGCTAATATTTTCGTGAAATTATGCTTTTCGCATTGCTGAAAAAATTGCAGAATTATGCTATTTTTATGCTAAAAGTTATCATATTATGCCGCATTATGCTCACATATGCTGCTAATGTACATGTATAATGATGGTTCTGTGCAAAATAACAGGGAATATTTTTGTATAGGGCGTGGTACTGTAGTAGCAAAAGTTCAACGGGGTCTACGCACCGTCCGACCTACAATTGTAGCTACGACCGTCACTGATTGTAGTGGACTGGACTGGACATGTTATGAAGGGAGTCGTAAACCTACATGTACATGTACATGACTGTATGACTTCCTGGTGCATCTACTTGTACTTGTAGAACATGTACAACTCTATGGAATTTGATGCGAACAGGCGGATTATTCCATTATTTATGCAATTTGTATGCAATTTGCCTCGAATTATGCGATTATTCGATTTTGGTAGGAATTATGCGAAAAATTATGCTAGCATAATCCGTCAAGGCCTAACCTTGATCACCCAAATAGCGTTGAAGCTGCAGCGTATAAACGTTATGGGGGCTGATTTATCGTTGTGACCAACGGTACGTGTTTTAGCCAAATATTGCATAGTCCGTACGCATTTCACCTTGTATCGCGTATATGGTGACAAAAATGGTTGTACCTCGCGAAATCAAAGCTATTCTCATGGCAACAGCGTACTAAAAATAGCGTGCATCTTGCTAAAGGTCGAACCCAAATCACGGTATTTTCCCCCTTACGATA